ATTTGTCAGTGGCCTGGAGTCTCACATTGAAGACCATGACACCTTCAGGAACTGCCTCCTGCCTTGTGAACGTCTGCAGGATGAGGAGTTGAGGTGTGAGGGGAGGTGAGATGTCCTTGGGTTTTAGTCTGTTATGGTGACCATACTAGGGTAGGCAGAGGCAGATGTTTACTTTTGAATTATGATTCTCTTTGCTAAGACTTGAGGCCTCATCTTGAAATTATTAAATTTATCACTATAAGGTTAGAAACTAGAATGTTTTATAGAATGTGTCTTACTTGTGTTGATATAATTTTGAATCTGCTTTAGTAAGAGTTATCTTTTGGTCTGCTTTTTCATCTAACAAGATTATATTTTAATGCTTAAAGATTTTATATTTTACCAGTTTTTGTGGCAAATGATTAAAAACATTAAAAAGTGACAAGGTGGAAACAAATACCTCTTCTTTACAGCACGGGCACATCTTACTCTAAAAGCCTCATTAAACTGCTGCTGGGGATTGACATATTACAGGTGAGACTATCATTTTTCCTGTGAACAATTGATAGAGGTAATGTGTAGTGCCCAGTTTTAAGTGACTGGAGTTCAGGGTAGAGTGAGAATAGTTGGAAGTTGAGGCTTGCAAGAGCTTTGCCACAGTAGTCCTGTTGCTGCGATGAACCTGGCAGTTGATACCTATCCTGAGAGCCCTGTCCTTCTGAACATCCCATTTGTTCCCTCGGCATAGATTCTGCTTTGTTACAGCTGCATTGTCTGGGCTCTGAGAACCTTGTGATCAGGGTTATTTCCAATTTAGCTTTCCAGCTACTTATTTGATTTGATTTTGCTCCTTACCTTCTTCTTCTTTTGGAGTTGAGTGGATGATACATTGATGTAGTTTTAAAAATTTCAAATTGTACAAACACATGTACAGTGAACAATCTCCCCCTCAGACCATACTCCATTTTTTATCTTTTCCTTTTCACTGGAAATCTTGAAAGCTAGTGGTCTTTAAGTCTGTAGGTTCCTTTGTTCATGCTGGAAATTCTCTACTTTTGAAAACTACTTGATAATTTTTTAAAGTCTGCATTTCATAGATTAACAGTTACCATATTTAATAGTATTTTTACTGTCTGATTATTTTCATCTTGCCTTGAAAATCATTTTTTAATATTTCAAAAGACGTATGTCAGGAGCTTGTACAAAAAATATGGCAGTATTTGTGTGGATATCTTTACAATAGGATTATATAAATTATAGCAAGGTCTCTCCTCAAGAACTCAGGCTGGAGAAAATCTGGCTAATTATAAATTTCTACTGTGTATTTTATGAGACTGTCTCCTAACTCCTTATATCTTCTTTTTTAGCCTGCCATTATTAAAACCTTATTTGAAAAGTTGCCAGAATTTCTTTTTGTAAAGTAAGTAGATTTATTATGGAATGCTCACGATACCTAATTTATTATGGAATGCTTACAATAACCTAATGTACTGAATTTTCTCTGAAACGCTCATTCTGTCTGTTCTTGTTATAGATAGTGTCTTGCTTTGGAGTTCAGGATAATCTTGAATACATTATACAGTCCAGGCTGGCCTGGAACTCTTGACAATCCTGTTCTTTTTTGTTGTTTTCCTTTCACCCTCCCCCATTCTTTGTTCCCTTTCCCATTTGAATATTTTTGTCCTATTTGCCAGTTTCTGTTATATATCTGTCCTTATTTATCCTTTCTATTTCTCCCTCTAGAAAAACAATGTGACATTTAAACATGAGCATCCAATTTATTTCATTTAAGACTATGGACTCCGGAGCTGGGGATTTAGCTCAGCAGCATAAGTCCCTGCCTTGCAAGCAGGCAGTCGTGAGTTCGATCCCCGGTACCGGTAAAAATGAAAAAGACAAAAAAAAAAAAAAAAAAAAAAAAAAAAAGACAATGGACTCCAACTGGGTGTGTTGGCATGCATCTGTAAATCCCAGCACTTAGGAGGCTGAGGCAGGAGGTTTGCTGTGAGTTTGAGGCCAGCCTGAACTGCATACATAATAAAACCCTGTCTCAAAAAGACCACGACCCCCCCAAAAAAACTGGACTTGTTTTTCTTCCCTCCCCCTCCCTAGTTCCCTTTTCTTTTGAAAAGTTTCTATTTCACAGTGCCTTTTACAGTACCTTTTATATACTTCACTCTGTATTTACACTTACATACTTACATATTTACATACCAGAGAAAGGATGCAATATTTACACACGTGAGTCCAATTTCACTGAAGAGTATGTTCTCAAGGTGCATCCATTTACCTAACTATCTCAAGCTCATACTTTATAGCTGAGCAGTACTCAACTATAAAAAAAAAAAAAACACATCTTCTTTATCCATTCCTCGGTTGATGGGCATTTTTTGTTTCCAAGATTTGGCTATTACAGCTGTGCCAGTTAGTGTGGCTATACTATTTGTTATGATGTTTTTTAATTCTTTTGGAAAGATAGCTGGATTAAATGAGACTGCTAATTATACTTTTTTGAGGAATCTCCATAGTGATTTCCAAGAAATTCTTAAAAATGTTACAAATCAGTTAAGTCAAGAAAAAGAAGATAAACAAACATATGTAGGTATATCAATAGTGGATAAATCGAGGTGATAGTTATTGTTATTTTTCTTTGAAGTGTTTAGAACGTTGAAGATTCATTCTTTACAATCCATGTTGTAGCTGAGTGGTTTATGCTAGGTACAATCTGCCCCAAATCCTTTTCAGCAGTTAAGATTGGCTGCTGTAAGGTGGAGATACAGCTCAGTGACATGCTGCCTGCCTGACAAGTGCGAGCGCCTGAGTTGTATCCCTCATACCACAAAAAAAAAAGACTGGCTGCTGTGAGCAAGGCCTGAAACAGTCAGAAAAGAAGGTGGGGCTGACCTAAAAATGCAGACAGGAATTTGAGAGGAGGGCAGAGACTTCATTTTGGGGGAAATAATAATAACCATACCAATATTTATCTGTAAGTAGTTTTCAATACTTTCATGATCATAATTAAATTTGACCCTTTGTTTCTATAATTATATGCATGTCCTTTTTTTCCCCACACTTAGAACATTGTTGTAATAGTTTTTCCTTTTTAAATTCTGTTTGTCTTAGTCAGTGTTTTATAGTTTATTCATATTTTATTTTTAAAAAACATTAGCATTCTTTAAAAAGTTTACATTATTACTGAACTCTATCTGGCCTTGACTTCCTTTTCTTCTGAATCTTCTCAGGCTACAGCACTGCTAACAGTTCAGTGCATCTTTTTCCAGGCACCTTGTCTAACATGTAGAAGTTTATGTCTGCTGTGTCTGGTATCAGTTGTATCTAGCACAGTGTCAAATGCATAAATGTTGCTCAGTGAATGTTAATTGACCAGCTGAAATATTTTGTGCAGTAATGCTGCTTGTTGTTGTATTAGTTAAAACGGCCAAGTCCCTGGGTTGAGGTATGAGCACCTGCTTATCCTGTGGAAGGACCTTGGTTCAGTTCCCAGCATCAAAACCAAACAAACAAACAAATGAAAAGCAAGAAAAAAAAAAAAAACCTGGAGAAATAAAAAAGAAAAAGACTTAGCTCCTGGTCTTCTCATTCTTCACTCCAGAGTGAACAGTGATGGCATCAGCATGCCGCGACTTATTATCAGTCAGCTCAAATGGCTTGACAGAGTTGTGGACAGCAAGGTAGGTTTACGGGCTTCATCTATTACTTGGACTTAAAGAGTGTTTTCTGTACTTGATCCAATTTTTAAACAGGAGAGAGTCACATTTTTCCATCTAGCTATCAACATCCTGGCTTTTATAATTTTGAGAATCAAATGTATTTTACCCTTCAAATTTCTTCAAACAAATTTATCAAATTACAGAGATTAAATACAATTTGTCATATAAATTAAATACTTGGAAAAAATTCATTAGTCTTTCAAAGTGCAGTGATTGCTGTTTATTTGTCTTTTGTTGTTTTTGAGACAAGGTTTTACTACATATCAGGCTGGCCTTTATCTCACGATGTAGCCCAGGCTGGCTTCCAACTTGCAGTGATCTCCTGCCTCAACCTCCCTAGTAGTGAGATTATGGGCTGCATTTGTTTCTTCAAAGTGGTATGATTCTACACAGTCTTAGTTCACTGCCCATGTTTTAATTTGATACATAGGGAAGTTATAGCAAATTTTCAGCGTTAATGTGATTTGCTTCTTAAGCACCTTTGTAAAGTTGGATCTGTTCTGAGCCAAGGGCTTGAGCTCCATGTATTTTCAGGAGTTCTAATTTTGGCAGGCATTTTAAGATTAAGTCTTTGTTTGAAAGAACATGAGAGCCAGGCATGGTAGTACACACCTGTAATCCCAAAAGTTGGGAGGCTGAGGCAAGAGGATCGTAAGTTTAAGACCAGCCTCAGATATAAAGTAAGCTCAGGCCCTCCTGAACTGCAAAGTGAGACCCTGTCTCAAAAAAAAGAAAAGAGAAACCACATGAGAATTTGGAGTCTCGTCTTGTCTGGAATTTGGGGCCTGCTGCTTAACTGTGTGTCTTTGAGTAGGTCATCCCTATAGTTTAAGAATGAGATTATTCACACAAAGTCCATAGCTCTGTAGAGTATATGATTAATACTATTAGGTAATGTACTGTCCACCCTACTTTTTTCTATCTTCTGTATTATATGAAATTTTTGAGTCTGTTTGGTTCTTAATGTAGGTTTTTAGCTTGATGCTGTATTTGTCTCACTACCTGGAAAACAAGTCCAGCTCTGTGTGTTGCAGGAGACAGTGTTTTCTGCTCTGGGTAATGTGCTGACATCCTAATAATGTCTTCCCCTGCAGGACCTCACTGCCAAGGTCATGCAGCTGATTGGCATTGCTCCAGAGTGCTTGCAGCATGACTTCATCACCAGCCTTCCTGAGATCCTTGGGGACTCCCAGCATGCTGATGTGGGGCAAGAACTCAGGTGGGTAATTGTTGTGGAGCTTTGCCAGTGATGCTGCCAGGTGGAAACAGTATGGAGGTTCTTTGTGTGTGAAAAGAGCATGTACTTGCCTCCCATGAATAGACTGTGGGATTTGATGTGCATTTTGAGACAACAGGTTGATATTTGAATAGACCATCTGCTTTCCTTAAATGATATACCCAATAGGAAGGTAAGGTCTGGCTTAAGATTTCGCATATAATTTTGGTCTGTGGAGAACTGAACACAATCCCTTTCTTGCCTTAGTGTTTTCTGCAAGGGTTCCTGAGTCCTAACTGCACATTGCATCATTTGCAGAGCTTCTTAAACATCTGCATTCTGTGACGCCCTAGATGACTGATCATGATGCACATCCCTGCATCACATCTGTTCCTGAGAACCATTACTTACTGCCCTTACTCTCCACTCACGTGAAGAGTAATTAAGAAATTACGCCTGGGTTATAATTCCTGTCCTGTCTTTTTTTTTTTTTTTTTTTTGGATATTGGGAATTGAACTTGGGACCTTACGCTTGTCAGACAGGCGTTTATGCTGCCAGGCTATCTCCCTGGTCCTAATTTTTGTCTTAATGTAACCTTTTATTTGTTGTGAAACTGGTTGGAAAAATTCATTTACTTCCTTTTCAGTAGTTCTCTGCAGAGCTATCTCCATATATGTTGTCTTGGTTACTTTTCTCATTGCTGAGAAAAAAAACACTTGACACCGAAAGTTAAAGGAGGAGAGGTTTATTGTAACTGAAGGTTGATAAAGGTTTAGTTCACAGTCAGCTGGCTCCCAGGGAGGGTGGTGTGGCAGAGGAGAAACTTGTCTATGGCAGGGCAAGGAAGGCGGAAGGCAGCAGGCAGCAAGGGACCAGCAACAACAGCCCTCCTTTTGTCTCTTATATTGTCTCACCCAGAAGGGGCTGTGGTGTTATCCACTCTCAGCACTCTGCCAAACCAATCAGTGGACTAATTTAGTAATCACACACCCTTGATCCCATTACATACATAATCCCAGAATTACACACTCTAGATCCAGCCACCTCTGAAAAGCCCCACTTACAAGCATGAGGCTTTGGGGAGATGTCTCGACACAGACCATGACATACGTCTAGTAATTCTGGCTTTTGTGCTTATGGTCTGGATGCTCCCATCTAGATAAGCTGTGATGCCACTACTCACTCCTTGCCTGGTGACAGCTCGTCTTGTGTGGCTTTTTCTTAGAATCCATGACAAATCTATCACCATTGTGTGCTTCACATGCATCTGTCATACTTAGGCTTCATGTGATTGTTTTGAGTTTTTTTTCCTTTTCTTGAAAAGGCTATGCACCAGACTTGATGGTAGTGATTTCTCTATGGTGAGATGGAGAAGAGGTTCTCACTTTTCCTTTTTTCTAATGTATTTATGGGCTGCCTAGTGAGAAGATAGCTCAGAGCTTTTCTAGCATGTATAAGGCCATGAATTCAAGCCCAATAACACTGCAAACTGAATATGATGAACATATATTACTTTTTGTCATGAAGCTAATTCTTATTGAAGTTAGTCTAAATAGTAATTTAATGGGAATTCAGTATTATTGGCCTGTGTATCCACATATTCCATTCCTTGGGTTCAACCAACTACAGATCAAAAATAGAAAAAAACACTACATCCATGCTAACATGCAGACTTCTTTTCTTGTGCATTATTTCTTAAACAGTACAGTATAACAACTATTTATATAATATGTGCTTATACATATTAAGTGTTATAAATAATGCATTGGTGATTAACCTTGCATGAGGATATGTGTACAATGCTACTTTGTATAAGATGTGAGCTTCCATGAATTTTGTTTTCGTTTCTTTGCTAGTGGGGTCTGTGTTGACCAGTCTGGTCTGAAACTTATAGGCATAAGTGATCTCCCTGCTTCAGTCTCGTGAGTAACTACGATTATAGGTGTATACTATCATGCCTGGTTTCATCTGCAAATTTTGACATCCATGGGGGCATCCCAGAACCAGTTCACTGTAGACATATGAGTTACAGCTCTCTCTTCTCTTCCCATACTCTCATGAGTGGTTTTTCTCAGGTGTTCTGTCCACCACTGAATAACTTTTCTTTTTCCAATGCCCAGTGTCCTATTGGTGGAGAGTACTCAGCTCACTGTCCCTATCCTGGATGTCCTTTCCAGCCTCCAGCTTGACCCTGACTTCCTGTCTAAGGTAGGGAAGGTGCTGCTCTGCAGAAACAGGGCCAGCTTTCTGACTGGGGCACTGTGTCAGTTACTATTTTGGGAGAAGTCATGTGTACTGATCTGTGTTTTGAAAATCCACTGAGTTACATTTGATTTCTTGCTCTTTTCAGTGGACTTTCAGATGCTTACTGTTACTCATTTCCTATTCTGTCTCTTTTTTGGGTGATTTGGGGATTGAACCCAGGGGCACTACACTTTACCATCAGCTATATTCCCAGCTGTTTTTATTTTTAATTTTGAGATAAGGTCTGTTTAGGCTGCCCAGTGATGGTCAGACTTTAACCTCCTGTTTCAGCCTCTTCAGTAGCTAGGATTACAGATTTGCATCACCACATCTGGTCACTGGTCTGTTTTGGTTTGGGGGGTTTTTTTGGTTTTGTTTTGTTTTGAGACACAGTCTTGCTCTATATTCCAAGCTGGCTTCGAACTCAAGGAGATTCTCCTACATCAGCCTCCTAAATGCTAGGATTACAGGCACATGCCACCTTACCTGACCTGTATTTATGCAAAGTTTTTTTGTTTTTTTGTTTTTTTTTGGTGCCAGGGATTGAACTCATGGCCTTGTGTTTGCCAAGCAGTCACTTACACAGCTGAGCTAAACCCCCGGCCCCTATGCAAAGTATTTTAAAGAAAAGTTTTTATATTGCTTGATTATTATCCTCAATAGGAATAATACTGTGTTATGCCTTCATATAGCCAGTTGAAAATCGAGACTAAAATCTAGGATAATAACGCTTTTACTTTTATCATCTGTTTGTAAAGAAGCTTTGGCATTGACAATTGAAAGTTTGTAATTTGGGGAAAAACAGAAGATGTTTTTCTTTCTAAGTTTCAGGATTTTCTAGTTTTACCTAACAGTACTGGGTTGAGTAATGATAATACAAATTTAAAATTTTTGTGCTTTTTATTTTTAGGTCCGCCAGTTGGCAATGGGTAAGCTAGTTTCAATCAAACTGGATGATTTTCCTGTGATAATCAAGTTCATTCTTCATTCCATAACAGCCACTAATGCGTTTGAGGTATGCTGTTATTAACTGACTAGCCAGTGTAGTGGTGATTGCCTATAATTTCAGCAATTTGGGAGCCTAAGCAAGAGTATCACAGGTTCAAGCCCAGCCTGGACAGTTTAGCAACTTAGTGAAAACCTGTCTCAGAATTTAAAAAGGGTAGGGGCTGGGGATTTAGCTCAGCGCCATAAGCGCCTGCCTTATAAGCAGGCAGTCGTGAGTTTGATCCCCGGTACCGATAAAAAGGAAAAAGACAAAAAAAAAAAAAAAAAAGAATTTAAAAAGGGTTACTGATGTAGCTTACTGTGAAGATCCTGGGTTCAATCCCCATTACTACAACAAAAGCATTGGACTTACATAAAGATACATTAGGATAAATAATTTAAATTAGTAGGTGGAAGCTGTTCTTCTCCCTGAGTATCGTGGCATGTGCTGTAATCCCAGCACTTAGGAGGCTGAGGCATGAAGATTGCCATAAGTTTGAGGCCTGCCTGAACCTACATAGTGAGACCCTGTCTCAAAAAACCCAAAGCATGTGGGAAGAAGTGTTCTTCTCTGGCCCCAGACAATTAACAGTGTTGATTAATGCCGATAGCATTCTGGGAAAACTGATACTGTTAGTCAGATTGCTTATTCTGTATAAGCTGCTATAGGTTATAGTTGCTAATGCTGTAAAGTAGAGGGTTACATGGTGGTAGCATTGGGGGTATGATGTTATACTTGTGTTATTCTAATGACTCCATTTCAAAATGCTTGGACATTTCAGTTGGAAGTTTTAGTCTTTTCACGATTATTTTGGCTCTGTTGAGGAAATGAACTCTGCCTATCCACTAAGAATAGTAAAATACCTGGCTAATACTTTCTGTAGGTAATTTCTGAGCTTCGAAGAAAGTTGGATCTGCAGCATTTTATTTTTCCATCATTGTTACAAGCTTCACAGTTCACATTAAAAAGAAAAGGAGGCGCAAGGTATGAAAGTCTTGCTATCCTTTTTCTTGCATAATTGAGAAGAGTTTTTTAAAATTTATCCTAGAATCATGACACTTAGAGCTTAATACTTGCATTTACAAATAGTGATAGTAATAGTACATTCACATAGAATATAGTTTTTTTTTTTTTTTAAATCAGGTGTGTGTATGTGTGTGTGTGTGTGTGTGTGTGTGTGTGAGATCCCAGATTGATGTAGTATAAGCTTTTTAGCCGTTTTACTTGTGACTTGAGGTTGTGACTTGCTCCAGGATGCACAGCTAATAAGCAGGAACCCAGATATTGTGACTTCTTCTCTGATAAATAGAAGAAATAATTTTTCCCTTTCTTGCTACTTGCAGTTCTTCAGGAAGTCAAAATAGTAGCCATCCCGACTATGTTACCCTCATCTTTGATGTAATAAAGTCAGCTGTTAGATATGAGAAAGCCATATCAGAAGCCTGGGTTAAGGTAAGTTTTTTTTTTTTTTAATCGGTACCAGGGATTGAACTCATGACCGCCTGCTTACAAGGAAGGTTCTTATGCTGCTGAGCTAAATCCCCAGCCCCATGGATTAAGGTAAGTTAAGAGCTGGGTATGATGGTGCATACTAGTAACTCAGCATTCTCGAGGCTGACGTGGGAGGATTGAGAATTCAAGGTCATTAAGGGCTACAGCGTGAGACCTTTTCTCAAAACAAGAAAAAATTCATCCTTGAAATGTAGAGCATCAAGGAGGAAAGAGGTTGTCCGTCCATGACACAGGTGAGGTAGGTTAAGGTAGCCGGGAGTCAGTTCCAGCAGAGGTGATCCTGGTGACAGGCAGATGTGCTTTCCCCCTGCAGCGCAGGGCATGCCAGGGCCCTGGGGAGCTGGGACGTCATGTTGATGTGTCCTAATATTGCTTTGACATTTGTTTTTCCAGGCAATTGAAACTACTGTCTTGGGATCTGATCACTCGGTAATGTTCTTGCGCTCTGAGTTTAGGTAGTAGAGCCAGAGTAGTGACCGTGGTTAGGTTTCCGTCCTGCTCGTCTCCCTACCTGCTTCCTGTCTTCTGTGCCTCTGTAGCTACTCTAGTAAACACAACTACCAAGCAAGTTGAAGTGATGAGTAACTTACCAAATCTTCCACCCGTACCCATTCCTGTAAGAAAGGGAAGCCTGCTGTATCAGGAAGGGGACATGCACATTCTGGACATATACATTAAATTGCAATAGAGACACAGCACCTCCAGCCGCAGTGGGGTGCCTGCCTCACTGACTTTTCACCCCCGCAGAGCTGTTGGGATAGCCGTGCTCTGTGGCTTTACCTCACCTGTGTGGACCTGCCAGAGCGAATGAGCCTCACCACTGTTCAGCTGCTCTGTTTCTCTTACTTCACAAATAGGAGTTTTGAAGCCAAATTGGTCAAGTTGCTTTGTACTGATTAGTTCTTGCTAAGGATTTTTCTGTAGTTGGAGTCTGTTTTCTGGAATTTTTTTAGGTGGGCTATCAGATTGTTGGACTATCTTAAAAGCTTCTATGTTATGGAATGTAAAAAATGAAAAGAATATATTTTGTGGGGGAAAATAATCAGAATATATTGATTTTGTTTTTGTACAAAAATAAATTGGCTATCTGATTACCTTCATTTCTACTTTTACAGATTTGTAATCATTCTGTAAATATAATTTCACATACTTTCTTACTGGCTTCCCTTACCTTCTACTTCTGGAAATGGAAACCAGAGGCTTATATGTTATCAGCAAACACTGTTACCACTCTGTCAGCCCCATTGTCCGTGTCTTAATTTAAGTAAACTCAGTCTCAATGTAAGAAATAATGAGCTGGGGATGTAGTTCAGTGCAAAGGCTCTGGGTTCAATCCCTAGACCCACAAAAAATAGTCTTTACATGGCTCTCTATGGTTTCAAAACACAACCCTATCATAATTTAAACTCTTAATGAACATTTAGAGTTTTTCAGCTTTTTGCAATAGTAGGGAAAATATATGCTGGAGTTCTTATGTGATTTAATCTTTTGATAAATGTGAAGATGGTTAAAATAACTTTTATAATATCACTTCCATTTATATTTCAAGAAATACGAGTAATGAATGGTTGTAGTGCTTTATTTTTCTTGAAAGTATTTCTGGATTTTGTGTGGGGGGGTGATACAGGTAATCCCATAGGACTATGTTGAACAAATGAATCAGTTCTGTAATGGGAATACATTGAGAGTTACTGTTTTGTTGCGGAAAGTCTACTGATGTTTCTGTTCTCCTTTACATCCTTCTGACAGACTTTTGATGTGGTGATGCTTTTCATCATTTATAGTACCAGCCCTCAGACAAAGAAGTACATCGAGAAGGTGCTGAGAAGTAAGATTCGTTCAGGCTGCTTTCATCAGCAGCTGCTGGAGTCGACGTTCTGTGTCCACTTCATGGTATGGTCGAGCAGCAGCCCATGGCTGTAAAAGACAGGGCTGACTTTAACCTTTCCGGCCAGGTGGAAATACAGATAGTCCTTCTGCGAGCTGTTTTTGATAGGGAGCTCAGCGTGTTTTGAAGTCAGACACACAAGCTTAAATATCAAACTCTTCCGTAGCTTGGTAGAGGAGTTATGTTAGTTATGTTAGTGAACTAAACAAAGGCTGATTTCCACATTTTTTGCAAAAAAATTTATGGAATTGATTTGGGTGATGGAATCATGTCCTTCACATTGATTGTATCACCAGACTTTTTGGTTTTTATTGTGAAATGAGGTCTTACTGAGTTGCCAGGTTGCCCAAGCTGGGCTCAAACTCACCATCTCCTGCCTCAGCCCTTGAATGCTGTGGGGTCCGGCAGGCATCACCATACAGGTTCCATAGCACTTCTTAATTTCTTTCTTCATCTGCTTTTTCCCCCTCATTCCACGTTTTGATCTCTTTCCCATTTGAGAAACATCTATCTCTTTACTTCCTATTATCTATCTTGTATTTTGCTCTATTTGTAATTTTGGTTGCTAGAATAAAAGAACGAATGTGATATTTGAGCTGTGTGTCTGGCTTATTTCACTTAACGTGGTTTCAAGGTACATCCCGTTTTCCTACAAATGACTGAGTTTATCTTTCTTGAGGCAGAGTTTTAACTGCATTGTGCATAAATACCACCCTTTCTTTATCCAGTCATCTCTTGATGCTCATATATATAGGTTGCTCCCAAGATTTAACTATTACAGGCCAGGGAAATAGCTCAGTGGCACAGTGCCTGCCTGGCAAGTGCAAGGTCTTGAGAGCAGTTCCTGGATACCAAAAAGAAAAGGAAAAAAAAAAGAAATTTAGCTATTACAAACTGTGCTGCTGCCTGGCATTGTGGTACATGTCTACAGTCCCAGCACTTGGGAGGCTGAGACAAGAGCGTTGCAGTGGGTTTGTGGCCAGTCTGGGCTACATAGTGAGTTCAAGGCCAGCCTGAACATGACCCTATCTCAAAAAAACAAAAAACATAAAAACCTGTGCTGTTATAAACATGGATGTTCATGAATCACTACAGTATGATGTCTTTAACTCTTTCTGCAAAATACCTAGAAGAGAAAGACCTTGGTCAAATGGAATTTCTAGTTTTAGTTTTTAAGGAATCTCCATAGTAGTTGCACTAGTTTATATTCCCATCAACAATACAAAAGGTTCCTTTTTTGCCACAGCCTCTCCAGCAGTTTTTATTACTTGATTTCTTGGTAATGCCATTTTTTCTAGAATAAGATGGAATCTCTGTGTTCTGATTTATGTTTCTCTAAGATGTTGAGCATTCATGTATTAATTGGTCATTTGTACTTTTGAAAAGTGTCCATTTTACTTGTCCATTTTTTGATTGCATCTTTTATTTAGGAAGTTTTGGGTGTTTGTTTGTTTTTGAGTTTCTCATATATTCTAGATACTAACCCTCTGAGAAATTGCTGGCAAAAAGTGGTTCTACAGGCTGTCTGTTTACTCTGTTGGTTGTTTCATTTGGCTTTTTAATTTGATATGGGCTTATTGATTTTGGTACTATTTCTTATGTAATTGGAGTTCTGTTGAGCCTATGCCTGTGACTTCAAATATTGTGGCTATTTCATCTACCAACAGGTTAAGTGTTTCTGTTTTAACATTTAGTTCTTTAATCCATTTGATTATAGTCTTTAATCCATTTGATTATAGTTTAGTGCATGGTGAGAAATATGGGTTTAGATTCAATCTCCTGCATGTGGAAAACCAGTTTCCCCAGCACCATTTATTAAAGAAACTATTCTTCCACTAGTTTTTATTCTTTGTGTCCCCCTTGCAATATAGGGGATTGAGCCTACAGGTACTCTACTACTGGCTACTTTCTTAGTCCTATTTATTCTTTGTTTTGAGACAGTCTTGCTAAGTTGTTTTTGGTTTAGTTTTTGTTGTTTTGAGACAGTCTTGCTAAGTAGATCAGGTTGCCTTGAACTCAGTATGTTGCTCAGGTGACCACAAACTTGCAGTGATCCTTCTGCCTTAGCCTTCTGTGTCCTGGGATTATAAGTGTGCATACTGTGCTCACTCAAGGGCAGTTTTTATCTATTTGTGTAATTCCATTGATCCTGAGAGAAAATTCAGAATGATGAAGATTATTCTAAGTAAGATGAAGACCAAGATGCCATAAGAGTGTGCATGATGATCGCTTTAGAATCCTAGCACTGTGGGGGCTGATACAGGAATGTTCCCAAGTTCAAACTCAACCTGTAACTCTTAGGGACTTAATGAGACCTTGTCTCCAAAAAAAGGTCCTAGGGATGTAGCTCTACAAGAAGACCCTTATTTCAAACCCCAGTACCACAAGTGAATAGACAAATATTTAAAACGTTAAAACTAAAACACATCTCTAATATGCATAATAACTAAGCTTTTCCCACAGCTTGTGTTCTTTCTCCTCTAGGTTCTGGAGGATGTCTGTCCTTCTATTCTATTGGTGGCTCAGAATTTGTTTCACTCCCAAGAGCAGAGCATAACTTCATTTGCCAGTTTGCTCTACAAATACTCATTTAGGAGTTTTGACACTTACTGCCAGCAGGTATGTTGAAGTCCTTTATTTTTATGAGGAATGGAGAAATAGAAACACAATTTCGTGTAAGCTGTGATCCGATGTATATTTCTTGTTGATTGAAGGAACCTGAAGAGGAGAGAACACAAAACTGGAGCTTGGGAAACTTGGTTCTAGTCCCAACTTTAAAATGAGTAGACCAGCCTGGGGGATTGAACTCGGTGTTAAATGGGTCTAAAGTTAAGGTCTGAAGCCAGTCTGCTTCATTTAAACCTTGGAACACTGGGCTGGGTCATTAGGTGGTCTTCACAGTGCTGGAATGGCATTTAAATCTAGTTAAAAGTAGTCAACTTTTATTTGATCCTGGAGTTGTTCCTTCAAAAACATATAATAAAAAATAAATGAATAAGAAATGCTTGAGGCCTGTTCCCATGAATAGGGGACACAAAATTTAATAGTAAGTGTCTAGAGGGAGAAGGCTGTATTTGTAGAAAGTTACTGTAAAAATAAGGAATTATTATTAATGATGTTTAAATACACTTGAAGGGAACCTTGGCAAGTGAAGATTGATTGATTTTTTTTGAGTGTGGGAATCGATCCAGAGTCTTAAGCATAGGCAAGCATTCTGAGACTGAGTTCACCCCTAAATCCCAGCTGAGGAATTTATTAGTTTGGTGAAAACCCATCTCAAGGTGGTTGTGGGGGCTGTAGCTCAGTGCAGAAGCCCTGTGTTACTGCAATATGGTGATGTATGTCTGTATTTCTAGCACTCTGGGAAGTGGAGGGAGGATGATTACAAGTTTGAGTGGAAGCCAGGTGTAGTGACACATGCCTATAATCCCAGCATTTGGGAGACTGAGGCAAGAGGATTATTGTGAGTTCGAGGCCAGTCTGGGTTACAAAATGAGTTCCAAGCCAGGCTGAAGTGCATAAGGGAGACCATGTCTCTAAAAGACACCGAAAAAAAAAAAGGTTGAAAGGAGTCTGGGCATCTTGCTGCAAAGGTGTCCTGGGTTAATCCCCAGTACTACAAAAGAAAAGAAAAGAAAAACAGCAGTAGATACAGCTGACATTAAACATACGATTCTGTTACTGGACAGGAGCTTAAAGGGAAGCAGAAGTAGCATCTTAAAACCTTTTTGACTCTCAATGTCTTGGAGGTACTATCATGATCTCTTTTCTCTTATATGGGTAAAACAAAGAGGAAGACCACACCCAGAGGCAAATTCAGGTGGGTTTAGAGACTGTTCACTCACAACTTTTGGAAAGTAGATCAAGTGTGGATCATAGTGTGATTACACTGCAATCACCTGAGGCTTCCTGAATCCAGCATTACTGAAAACTACACAGTAGATGGTAGGATCAGGTGAGCTGTGAATTTAACAAGGTCATCACCCACAAGGCATCAGGGTGAACCTTTTTAGAATGATCTTGCCATGTTTTTGCTTTATGTTGCTCTGGTGAACCTTGTTCTTTCCTTGTGCAGGAAGTGGTTGGTGCCCTAGTGACCCACGTCTGCAGCGGGAATGAAGCTGAAGTTGATGCTGCATTATATGTCTTGCTTGAATTATCAGTACTAGACCCGTCTGCAATGAGGCTGAATGCCGCATTTGTGAAGGTATCTGTTGATTACACTGTCATATGCTGACTCATTTCCTTTGTCAAATATAGCAAAGTTATCTGTTGGTAATCTTTGTTTAGTTACTCCGTAACTGGTGCCTAGAAAGTGAAATGTAATAGGCAAGTACTATTTTAAAATGACTTGTTGGGGCTGGGGATATAGCTCTGCGGCACAAATGCTGCCTGGCAAGCACGAGATGGTGAGTTTGATCCTCAGTACCCTCCCTCCCCACCAAAAACACCTCACTGATTATGTACTACTTAATTCAGCAAACGTCTCTATTCCTAATGGTTGCCAAGCTCTGTCCTGGATGCTGTGGATATAAAGGTCAGTGTTTGCCTTTCCTGATAGACATACAAGCAAGTTATAAGACAGAATCTACTGAATTCTGTTATGAAGCAATGGGGCTGGGGATTTAGCTCAGTAGCTCAAGCATTTGCCTTGCAAGTGAGAGGACATGAGTTTGATCACCGGTAGCAAAAAAAAAGTACTATAGATACAACAGAGCAGGCATAATTCAGTTTGACCTGGAGGGCTGGAGAGTGTCAAAGTGGAAATCACATTTGAGCGTGTCATGAAAGATGGGAAGACCTTCTGACCGACAGTAGTTGAAAGGGAAGCTAAGTGATGCCTGAGGCCATGTGTGCCTGAGGAATGACAGCGGACTGGACAGAGTATATGTGGTTGCAAGTGGGGAGGCGAGACCGGGAGAAATGGAAACAGGGCTCTGTTGCAAAGGGTTGAAATCGAATTGAAGCCATTCTAAAGAGTGTCAATCTTATTTTTGTAGAAAATAGGGAGCAAGTGCAAGTTTCTATTAGGAGTTGATTTGATCAAATCTTGGTTCTGAGGCTGGTGAGTAGATTGGAGACTATAGATTGGCCTAAGAGAGTAAAGGCTGAAATTAGGCTCAAGGGGAAAGAGAGGGAATGATAACTTTATTTTTTAAAAAAATTTTTTTTCAAAGCCATTTTTTTCAAGGATAAAAGGAAAGAAAAATAAGAAAAACTGCAACAAAATTTCAAAACGTCAATTAGGGAGCAACAGTGATACATACATAGCACACCATGATCCCCAGATCATTCACCCAGAGCACAAGACATCTGCATTCAATTGTCCAAACAATACCAGCACAGTCTTTCTTTGGTGAACTCAGATAAATCAGTAGTATAACTATCTTAACTATTTTTATATACATATACATACACATATACATGTTTTTCTTTCAGCTTGTCATACTCACGAAACAATACACTGTTGACATGTGTCTTATTTGTTTCACTAGTGAGTATATTCTAAAGTTGCATCCATTTACCAATACAAGTGTACAATTTATCCTTTTTATGGCCGGATAGTACTCCTTTGTATAAAAATACATGTTTTGTTTCCATGCCTCAGTTGATAGGCATTTGGGTTGTTTCCAAGATCTGGCTATTATAAACTGTACTGCTATAAACATGGGGATATATATATATTATACATATATATATTACTGTGGTATGATGCTTTTAATTCTTTTGGGAAGATATTCAGAGGGGAACGGCTGAGTTGAATGGGACCTCCAACTCAATAATATCTTTAGAATCAGTATGGTTATCAAGAATATATTGTGATAACAAAGCGAACCGAGGTCCGAGTTTTCCATCTTAGGAACCTTGGTGATTTGCTGTACTATGTTGCGAGCTCAGGACTGCAGGTGAGGAGTGCATCTTTTGGAAGAGGCACAGTGAGTTCACTTTGGTGCCTGCACGTTGGATGGCTAGTAGATACCTGGAGATTCCAGTGTGGATCCCAGAGGGCACCTCCAGCTTGATGAGCATAACAGTGTGAGCTCAAGGGGGCAGCAGGTCCTGGGAGCTTGGGAGAGTGCCAATCCTCTGAGAACAGTAAGGGTAAGTGGCAGACCAGGCAAATGTCCACAGAAAGATAGGCTTAGAGTAACGTAAATCAGAAGGGTGTCAGATAGCAAAAACCCAGGTAGAAGAGTGCTTCTTACAGAGAAGCAGGGTGGTGGAGTGTTTAGATGGGGTCATGGTCATTAGCTTGGGCAATTAAAAGCTCACAGAGCCCTTACTACTGGGTCCTCAGACCTCCTTGGAAAAGTAGTGTACCTATTAATATATCCATGTTAGAGATGAGAAAGCTGAGGGGCTGCTCATGGTCCAAAAGGAATCCAGTGGTTCCTCAGTTCATGAATGCTTTTATTTTTGAGCGATTTGGTTCACAAACAGAAGCATTTGATAAAATTTTGTTTTGGTTGCAAGCTCTGCATTGGGTGATGAGCACAACAGCAGTGTCTTTCCCACACACAATACAAACATGGCCGTCTTTTCCAGAATTGTGGACCTGATGGATGGAGTTCATGAACCGCCGATGTACCACTGCAGTTTCCTTTTGATTCCTTCCAGATCTGCAGGGAAAGGATAGTTTATGGAGTAAAAGCTAGACAGGAAAGATACAGTGAGGAGTTGGTGTTATAGACAACTTCTGGTGGAATATTGTTCTCACTGAGGAGAAAAAGGCAGAGAAATGGAAAATCTACCAGGACGACTAAGCTGGAGATGGTTAGAGCCTAGGATTGTGGTGTAGGGGTTCAGGGGACCAGTGCTCAGGGTTTCGTTTTCCTGGCTCTGGGTTGGATCCTAGTCTCCGATAGACTTAGGCAGCTGCAAGAACCCTTTCCACTTGTGTACAGAATATCCAACCTTTATAGTCTGAGCAGGGCTTTTAGAGCTTAAGCTTTTGGAGAAGAGATAGATAAACACCTAGCTATCTAAGTGTGTATCTCATAAGAATTTTAATTTTTGTTTTGTTTTTAGGTACTGGTAATGAAATCAAGGCAGGGCCTGATATGTTAGGCAAACGTTTTACCATTAAGCCTCAGCTCAGGATTTTAATTTTTTGACTTAAAGAGAAAAACTGTTAGCTACCAACCTCATTGTTGACATTTTTTCTTATAGGGCCTTTTAGATTACTTGGATAATATGTCCCCTCAGCAAATCCGAAAACTCTTCCATATTCTCAGCACACTGGCATTTAGTGAACAGCATGAAGCCAGCAGCCACATCAAGGTAAGAGGCCTTGTGTTGAGAAAGAATCTTTCAAACCTCTTTACTCAGAATTTGCTAAACAAAATCACACTAGTCTGTGCAGTCAGAGTGCAGAGCCCTGGTCCCAACTTTTGCCCAGTCTTTGCTTACCACAAATATCGTGTGACTGTGTCCGTGGCTGGAGATACTAGGGTGTCAGGTTTTCTGCCCACACCATAGTCTGGTAGATAGTTAGGTTGTGATCAGCTAACTATGGCATTGAGTTGGAAAAACAGTCCCAATTCTGTACTGAGTCCTGTTGAGAAATAGAATTCCACAGGGCTTGCTTTCATTTGTAAGCACTGCTTACAGAAACCCAAGCAAAGAATTATAAGAGGAGGAGAGATTAGATTGGAATCACAACTCACAACTCTTTTTGTGCCTATCATGTTGCCTCAAACAGTAAATTCATACTAACTGGACTGTGCTTTTAACGATCAGCACTGATTTTACTTTAAAAAAAAAAAAAAAAAAAACCTCTTTAAAGCTAGGTAACACACATAAATGGAACAAATTTAAAATGTATAGAAGAGTACACAGTCAAAAATGATTTCTTATCCTTCTCATTTCTCTAGGCATCTGGTTTCTTTCCCTAGAGTTCATCAGTATTGCTAGTTTATAGCTTTTGTATGTTTTGAGCATTTACAAAAATTTGTATTTGCCTTTATACTGCTATTTCCCTCTCATTTGATGTCTTGTATGTTGTAGTTAGCAGGATACTTTGGAGGCTACTAATATGTTACTCATTTCATTTTTGAATTCTAGTAAAACATATATAACATAACTGTTTAATCATTTTTATTATCAGTTGTAAGGACATTTGCAATACATAAACTTATCACCATCCACTTTTATTTTTATTCTCCCAAACAGAAAATGCACCCAACCCAGGTGCGTACCCTCTACTTGTGATCCCAGCATTCTAGGAGGCTGAGGCAGGAGGAAGGGAAGGGAAGGGTAGGGGAAAGGGATGAAGCAAGCTTGTGCCTATTAGTCATTAATAATTGCAAGTTTCCCTTCCCATCAGCCATGGTAATCTATCTCTACTTTCATCTGTGATTTTGCCTAGTCTAGATACTTCATGTAAGCGGAATGGTGCAATATCTGTCCTTTTCTGTCAGCTTATTTCACATAACATACTGTGTTGTTTTGAGACAGGGTCTTGCTGTGTAGTCCAGCAGGAGAAAGTTCAGCTGTGTTGTGTGATGTAGGAGGTATGATCAAAAAATACATTGAATCTTTAAATTCTAAAATAGTTATTGTAGTAAAACACATTGCCATTAATCCTCCCCAAAATATCCCCCCCAATTGAAACACACTTAGCCCATTGCTCTTGGCAATGTGTCTTTTACTGTTGTAAGTCAGTTTTGTTTAGCTTAACATTGAATGTATGTATTTTTCAATCATCCCTTATATCTGAACTTCATACCTTGTAGTAGCTGACTAATCCTTACTTATGGGCTGCATTTTGTCCATTTGTTTGTCTTTCAATGGACATCTGGGTTGCTTCCGGATTCAGCACTGGCCATTTCAGTGCTATTGTGAACACTGGTGTACATGCACTGATTTGAGCCTATTTTCAGATCTTCTGGGTATGTATCTAGAAATGGAGTTGCTGGATCCTAGGTGATTCTGATTAACATTTTGAGGAACCACCAAAGTTATACATAGCAGCTCCCGCATTTTACATTTTCAGTCACAGGCACAGGGCTCCAGTCTCTCCACACTCTAGGCACTCACTGCAATTAATAGCTACCTTAGGCTGGACTTAGTGGCACATGCCTGTAATCCCAGCACTCAGGAGGCTGAGGCAACAGGGTGGATTACTGCAAATTCAAGGCTGTCCTGAGCTACGTAGTAAGTTCAAGGGTAGCCTAAACTCCATGATGAGACCCCGGCTTAAAAAAAAAGAGAGAGAAAAGAAAAGAAATTGGGTGTGGGACTGGGTGCGGAGGTACATACCTGTAATCATACCTAAAAACTGTGGAGAGTGAGGCAATAGGATCACAGTGAGTTAAAGATCAGCCTAGTCTACATAGTGAGGCTTTGCCTGAGACAGTAAAATAAAAAAGAAAGAAGTGCAAGGCCCAGGTTTGGTCCTTAGCACAAAAAGGGGACAGAGAGAGAGAGAGAGAGAGAGTGAGCGCAAAAACAAGAGCAAGCACTCGGAAGGAAGGACATTTCTATTCTTTATTTTATTTTATTTTATTTTGTCTTTTTAAGACAGGGTCCGCTGTGCAGTTCAGGCTGGCCTTGAGCTCACTTTGTAGTGTAGGCTGGTCTTGAACTCAAAACGATCCTCCTGCCTTCCGAGTGCTGGGATTACAGGCATGAACCGCCACACTCGGGTATTCTTTATTCTTTAGTTTCTTTTCTTGTTGTGGTATTGGAGATTTTTATACTATATGTCAAAGTACTAATCCCTTGTGATTTTCACATATTTTCTTCTATTCACTGCATTGTCTTTTCTGTTTAGTTTTTGGGGGTAGGGATGGTTTAATTCTCAGGATGAGTCTCACTGTGTATTCCAGGCTGCCCTTCAATTTGCTGTGTAGTCCAGGCAGTTGAGGATCCTCTGACCTCAGGCTCCTAGATTTTGGGACTATAGGCATACATCTCTATGCTCAGCTTCTATCTTTTTTTTTTTTTTTTTTTTTTTTCTGGTTTATGCTTTTTTTTTTTCCTCTGGTACCTGGGGATCAAACTCACGACCACGCTTATGCCTTTGAGCCAACCCTGGTTTATGCTTTTTTAAGGGGTTTTAGTTTTTGTTTTCTTTTGTTTCTTTTCTTCTTCTTTTCCTCCTCCTCCTCCTCCTCCTCCTCCTTCTTCTTCTTTTCTTTTCCTTCTTCTTTTCTTTTTCTTCTTTTTCTTCTTCTTTTTCTTTTCCTTTTTCTTTAGGACAGCATCTCCTTATGTAGTTCAGCCGGGCCTTGAACTCACCATGTAACCCTGGCTAGCCTTAAACTCAGCCTCCGAAATGCTGGGATATAGGGATTATAGGCATCATGCCCAGCTCCAGGTTTTTTTTTCCTTGATAGTGTGCTTTGATGTGCAAAAGTATTTAATTTTGATGGCATCCAGTTTATCTTTTTTTTTTTTTTCCCTGTATGGTTGGTACTTTTGATGTCATAGTTAAGAACGTATTACCAAGTCTAAGGACATGAATATGCTCCCTGTTTTCTACAAAATGAAAATTTGGGGACTTACATTTAGGTCTGTGATCCACTGTGAGTTAAGTTTTGGTGTTGCCTTTCTGGTGTAAGTTTATGGTTCAGCTTCATTGTTCTGGATGTGAATGTCCGGTTTCCATTGTACCATTTGTAGAGACACTGTGATTTTTCCACTGGTGGTCTTCATGTCCTTGTTGAAGAGCAGTTGACCATATATGTAAGGTTTATGTCTGCGCTATATTACATTCACCTGTTTATCTATCTGCCCAAGTCAAATAGATTAATTAGCTAAAAAATTAATTAATTAATTAATTAGGCAAAGCTATCCTGTGTTCAGGAATAGCTTTGCTTAATTAATTAATTAATTTTTTAGCTTTGCTTAATTTTTAGGTGTTTAACTTCTTTCACAGTGTTTATATAGAGTTTGACATATAAATCTTTTGCCTCCTAAATTTATTCCCGAGTATTCTGTTTCATTATTGTAGCTAAGCAGCCATCCACATTGAGTTACAATAGTTTTCATATCTTTACACAAAATAGTTTTCATATCTTTACACCACCACAAAAATAATAGCTGCTGTGAGCCAGGTGCTATTCTAGGGATTTTTCACAATCTCTCAACCTTCAAACAATCTTTCCCATCTTGTGGATGGGAAAATTGAGACTCAGAGAAACGAAGTACTGTATAGGAGGTCACAGTTGTAATTGAAAGAGCCCTTTCTCCTGGGGTTTCTTTTGGCTCTGGTGTCCATAGATTCTTTTGCTGTGCCATCCCAGATGCTTATTCTTCACCCGTTGTATTCTCACTGCAGGACGATATGCACCTAGTGATCCGGAAGCAGCTCTCAAGCTCCATAGTCAAATACAAACTCATTGGGATCATTGGCGCAGTTACCATGGCGGGCATCATGGCAGCAGACAGGTATGCGTGCAGAGTCTGGCTTTAGTGAAGCAGGATCAGTTAATGAAAATAAAATGTTACATTGTGAAGGCGTCCTTTTAACAGTAGATTTTAAACCTGTAAGAGAAGTGAGCAAATAGTTTGTGCTAACTTTTCCGTATTTCCTTCCAACTTGGACTTTATAGACCTTGTATGAGTTTTACAGTTGTGATTATAGTCATTGTAGTGTAATGGTTAAAAAGTAGGAGTTGCCCAGAGGTGCAGTCTTTGAAGGCTTTCCACAGAAGAGCACCTTAATCCTCTTGGAATTTGTTTTTCTGTTTCTGCCCCTAAACCAGGTGCTAGACAGTATAAGTCCCAACATTGCTGCACTGATCCTGCTTGGAACTTCATGATCTGAACGGATAACAGTCTTATAGTTCCACCCTTTTTCTTTGATGTCCCAGTTGTAGCATCTAAAGAGGCATCAGATTTGGGGCTTGTTAAGATGGTGACTTTGCAGTACAGTTTCATGTCCATTGAATTGTGCAGAACTTGGGCTGGGGATTTAGCTCAGCGGCATAAGCACCTGCCTTGCAAGCGGGCAGTCATGAATTCGATCCCAGGTACCTATAAAAAAGAAAAAGAAAAAAAAAAAAAAAGCAGGAATTGTGAGGAACTCCTGAGGCCTCAGGAATCAGCGTTAATAATCTGAAGAGGCTGCATAATGTATTGGTTGAACAGTTTATTCACTGAGACTGCGCCACTTGCCTGGAGTTACATATTTGTAACCTTGAACCAGTTGTTTCTACCTTTTTAGTGTCACCTCTGTGCCATGAATATCTGCATGGTATTTACGCCATAGCGTCACTGAGAATGTTAAATAGAGCAGAGCCAAGCACACAGCTGTACTAAAAGAAGCAATGGCCCCAGCCAGGTAAAGGAGTGTGCACCCTAGTGCTGTCACTGGATGGGACCTGAGGAGGCCTCCACAGAGAGGATTGGGACCTCACCTAGCCCTCGAGCTTTTGGAGGAGAATCTCGGCACTTCTCAATGAGATAGGCGGATTTATTAGGCAGAATCAAAAAAGTACACACTTAGAAAAGAGCACACGTGTGCAAGGCCAAGATACACCACAGTCTTGGTAGAATGTTTCTGTGGTCAGGGGATGCCCTCAGGATACATGGCCTTAGATGGTTTGTTCTGTTGTTCGTCTGCTGTCTGTTTCCTTAGGGTTAGATTGCTCACTGGTGAGCTGAAGCAAAAGCACTTTTCCAACTGGGTTAAAATGTACTGTTTTTGCATGTATTTGAAGTTTGGAGTGCCAGATAATAGGGCTGTTCCTTTGAGAGTAGAAATGTTTCGATTTGTAGATTTATAATATCAGAAGAAAACAGGTCAAATTTATGGACTCATTATATCTTTAAAACATAGGGATTTAGGAGTGAGGAGCCTAGAAAGCACAGGCCTAGGGATGAAAAAGACATCAAAACCCTAAGTGACTTTGATTGTGTCCGTAGGCTGCAGGTTTGTTTAAATTTCCATGTATTTTTTCTATGCTACCTCAGTCCTAACTATTTGGGGGTGGGGTGAGGCAGAAAGAGTTTTCTTCCTCTCATCTTAAAAAAGAAAAAAGGAAAGCAACCTGAATAGCACAGCAGGACCCTGTCTCAAAGAAGAAAGAAGTGAAGTGCATGCCCTTATTATCATCACTAATTTAATGTGCCCTTAGAAATCCATGGGAGCTGGGTGCAGCAGCATCCACCCGTACTCTCAGCACTATATGCTGACCTGGGAGGATCAGTGGAGCCTAGATGTTTGAGACCCAGCTAGGCAACAAGGCAAACCCCACTTGAAAAGACAGAAAACAAACCTGAATTGTTGTATATCTATATCCATGGTTTGCATGGGCAGTATAATACCCCTCCACGCCTTCAGAACTCTTACCTCTACTCTTGCTTCAGGGAAGGTCAGGGTTGTTTAACTTACTGCCATTTGTTGTAAAATATTGAAAAATGAAACTTACAAGTGGATATTCTAATTTCAGCCAAGAGAGAGTTGACCCGAGCAATGAGCAGTGCACACAGGTGAGTTTGTATATTGTACTCATGTATGCTTATGAGAAACTGAGGAATTGCTTCTTATCACTCTCAGATTACCAGAAAGAATACTTTTAAAAAAAAAATCTTCTAATCTCATAGCTTTCATGGTTTTTGTCATTTTTGTGACACTTAGATTCTTTCGGCTTGCCTTTACTTACATATCTCTTTACTTATATATCTCTCTGCACTCTCTAAATTGAAACTTCTTAGTGGTGCACACTTATGATTAAAAGGCTGAGACAAGAAGGTCTCTGTGAATTCAAGGCCAACCTGGGTGACAATATCTGTTTAAGACCAACCTGAACTATGGTGGAGACCCTGTCTCAACAGCAAAAAGAAATTGTAAATTCTTAGCAAGAGCTGACCATGGTTAGTTGGGCATGGTGAAACGTGCCTGTAATCCCATTGACATGGGACATTGAAGAGAGAAGGTCATTTGTTTGAGGCCAACCTAGGTAACTTAGCAAGACCCTGTTCAAAATTTTAAAAAAAAAATAAAAAGGGCTATGGATATAGACGACTTGCCCAGCATGCTGCAGGCCCTGCATTCAATTCCTAGTACCATGGGACAGGGAGCGATAGCAATCAAAGGTAGAGCCCACTGTGTACAAGGTATCAACCCTAGCATGCTCATCCCCAGAAGAAAAACATGGCAGGTTGGCTGGACCATATGGGAAAAGAACCTGTGTGCTCAGATATAAAACTAGTTCAAGGATTTAGCTCAGTGGCATAAGCACCTACCTGACAAGCACGAGGTTGTGAGTTCTATCCCTGGTACCAAAAAAAAAAAAAAAAAACCAAAAAAAAACAAAAAAACTAGTTCAGAGATGGAAAACCAAGGTCTTGAATGCACGGAAGGTATTTTTGTTTTCCTCTTTAAGCAGAGATAATCCTTAAAGGTTTCTTAGCATGGAAATGGCATAATGAAAGTTTAGCTTGAGAAAAATGAGTCTGGCTGTGGAGTCTGATGGGTTGGAGAAAATGTTGATTAGAAAGAGACATGGTTGTCAGGAGGCTCTGGAAAGTCTCAGGTAGGCGCTTAGTGGTATGGCTGGAAGGGGAACTTGACACAGAGTGGGGCAGAGGGAGCTCCAGGAGTGTGGGAGGGGCTGCTGGCCAAGGCACGAGCATTCCTTCTCTTCTGCTGCTCCAGGTGATGTCCTTGCTGCAGCTGGTTCAGTCCTGCAGTGAGCAGTCTCCTCAGGCCTCTGCACTGTATTATGATGAATTTGCTAACCTGATCCAAGAAGGAAATATAGCTCCAAAAACATTGGTAAGGTCCAATGTCTCTTTTCAAAGTGATGAAGCATGAGAACTGCACCTAGGTCATCCTGCAAGCGCCCCAAAGTTTTAGTTGAGAGGATGATTCTACCCCCTCCTCCCCTGGGTTGGGCTTTTCTGTCCACATTCTCCACATATCGGTACTCACAGTAATGAGGGAGAAGTGGAGGGTTGCTTGGTGTAGGTGATGTTGACAGATACCATCTGTTTGGTAGCCCTGTTCTACCACCGGTCACTGTGCTAAGCGCTTTCTGTATGTACCCTTTTCCACGTCACGGTAGGAGGTATGTATCGTTCTTTCCACTTTAAAAATGAGAAAACTGGGGCTGGGGATTTAGCTCAGTGGTATAAGTGCCTGCCTTGCAAGCAGGCAGTCATGAGTTCAATCCCTGGTACCGATAAAAAAGAAAAAGACAAAAAAGAAAGTGAAAAAAAAAATGAGAAAACTTAGGCTTGGTCAGGTTAACAGTCATTTATCTGTAGAGCAAGTGCTCCTGAGAGCACATGCCTTTTTTGTTTGCTTCCTGAAGGAATGGGTTGGGCAGACTATCTGCAGTGATTTCCAGGATGCGTTCGTGGTGGACTTGTGTGATGTCTCAGAAGGGTGAGTGCTGTTTGCCTCTGCTCTGGTTGCCCAGGTGAGGAAGTTAGGTTGGCCATCAGTGACTGATACAAAGTTCACTGTGCCCTTCACTACAGCCAAGTCTGTCCCACCCACAGCTTCTTTCTTTTCAGCCCTAACAGCCCTGCCCCTTGCTTCAGAATCGCTAGAAGTCCCCACTTGTTCTTTGTCCTGTTTCTGACTTCTCCCCACAATAGTTTATTTGAAGTTAATTTGTTCTTGTGCTTTCCTCCATAGGCTTGCTTACCATTGAGCTGGAGCATGAGATTCTGGCTTCTCTGTCTTCACAGGGCACTTCCATTTCCTGGGAAAGCACTCTACGGGCTGGAAGAATACAATACTTGTGATGGAATTGCCATCAATCTCCTGCCTCTACTCTACTCTGAGGAATTTGCAAAAGATGGAGGTCATATGACTGCACAGGAATCAGGCCAAAAGTCAGTACACTCTCCCTCCCCCAGAATCTCTGTTGGTGGTTTGAGTGTTCATAGAGCATTTTACGGTTTTTCCATCTGCAGGGAACTTGAGTTAAAGGAGATTCTATTCTCCCAAGGGTATTTGGAGGATTAGAGGGAATGAGACAAATTCGTTATGTTTTTCCCTTGGATCATGAGGTTGAAATTTGCATTATTTCCTGAGAACCAACAGGTGTTCTGTGAAGCGATTTTCTCTTCTGTTCTTCTGTTCTTCTTTACCTTACCCTTGTTTTCTTTCCTGTGAGCATTGTTGGCTACTTCTCCCTCCTACCACCTTCCCTGTGTATCTCATTCACTCTACATAACCCCTTCCTTCTTTGTAATTCAGGTCACTGTTGGCTGAGCATTCATCAAGTTAGTTACCATTTATTCTTAAAAGTAAGCATTTATTTTGTGGAAAACTTACAAGTTATAAAGACAGGCACTGTATTGACATGAACTAATGTGATGATGGCTATGAATTGTCTGCAAATGGACTTTTCCTCCCCAGATTGGTGTCTACATTGTGCCTGGCTCCTTATTTCCGGTTATTGAGGTTTTGTGTGGCAAAACAACATAATGGAAACCTGGAGGAGATCGATGGCTTATTAGGTATACAACGAAGTCTTGGGTCCTCTTTGTGACATTTCTTGCCAAACAGACAAGGGCCAACTAGTACATGGTATAGGTAGGAAGGGATTTCTAATTTTACAGAATAGTATAGCAATGGAATTCCAGAGATAAAATAGTATGTATTTGATTGCACAATGTTAACAAATAACTTGTTATTGTAGTTCCACATTGCTTTCTAGTGATTCTCTTTTATAACTCTTGCCAAACTTCTTTATCCTAAGATGGGTGTGCTGGTGCTTACCTGTAATCCCAGTAGCTCCAGAGGCTGGGACAAAAGGACTGTGAGTTTGAGCCCAGCTTGTGCAATTTAGTGAGACTTCATCTGAAAATAAAATTTTTAAAAGGGCTGAGGACATAATGCAGTGGTAGAGTATTTGCTTAATATTCATAAAGCCCTGGGTTCAATCCCCAGTACTGTGAAAAAAGAAAATACTTCTTAATTATATTTATTGGTTGCTGCATGAGATAGAAGTTTTTTGTTTTGTTTTGTATTTTGAAACTAGTCAGAGCTTGATCTCCAAATATAAGCTAAAGGGAAAAGGAAGGCATTCCAGGATATTTGAAGGGCTTGTCCTTCTCTCTTAGATTGCCCTCTGTTCCTTACTGACCTGGAGCCTGGAGAGAGGCTGGAGTCCATGCCTGCTAAGGAGCGCTCATTCCTGTGTTCACTCACATTTCTCACTCTCAACTGGTTCCGAGAGGTGAGCAGAGTCACTCAGACATCCCTCCTGTGGTCATTAGTTCTCTCAAAATACAGCTACTCCCTTATAAGGCTGGGTGTGGTGACGTATACCTGTAATCCCAGTACTTGGGAGGCTGAGGCATGAGGATCATGGCGAGTTTGAGACCAGCCTGGGCTACAAAGTGAACTTAAGGCCAGCCTGAACTGCACGGTGAGACCCTGTATCCAAAAAGACAAAAACAAAAAAACAAAACAAAACAAACCCAGCAGCTATTCTGAACTTCCATAGGAATCCTAAACAAGCTCCACCAAGTGCTAGTGTCTGTGCTCTACCTGTTTCACCCCACCTCTCCCCAGCTGGTGTGGTGCCAGAGCACCCAGAATAAACTCGTGAGACCTATGCTTCCCCATCCTGAGCCCTCTCAGAGCCTTACTTCTGCCTAGAATGATCTTGCCCTCCGTGGAAGAATTGTTCTTTTGGCTAGCACAGGCGCATGCTGATTGGCTGCAGTGAGATGACTGGTGGTGGTTTCCCTTCCTTTGAACATGTTACATTTCAGAGAGATGGTGATGGCAGCATCCTTCTGCCGTTTCTGCTTTCCCTTGCATTTTAGTTCGGAGATATGTGTTTGAATGACTTACAGTTCATCATCGTGGTGTTATTATAATGTGGACAGGATGGGTATTGTTTTTTTACATATATAGAATTTCAGTCACAAAATTTTATTAAGCATTTACCTGCTGCTAAGTTAATTTGTCTATAACATTTAATTCAAATAATAACTACTGTCTGTTGTCATTTTAAAGTTGAAGGCTAAGGAAGTAACTTGGTTGTAGAGTATTTACCTCGTACATGTGAGACCCTGGGTTCAGTTGTCAGTACTAGAAACAACAAATGCAAGCTATAGCATAGAAACTCACAGATGTGCTTCCCAGGGGCAACTTTGTTATAGGTGAATAAGGCAAATAATGCAGACTTAAAAGTTAAAATCTGAATACATCACAAATGTGAGAATATAATTTGCAGGTAGTGAATGCCTTCTGCCAACAGCCGTCACCTGAGATGAAGGGGAAGGTCCTCATGCGGCTGAAGGTCATTGTGGAGCTACAGGACATCCTGGAAAAGCACTTGGCAGGTAGGGCTCATCCTCTCAGCTCTACTCAGGTCAGGGTGGTGCCTGCACCCTCCGCAAGCAGGAAATACGTGCTGAACAAAACTTTTGATGACTGTATCTGTTTCGCTCTATTGTTAGCACCAGGAAATTTTACTAGTTAAAGTAAAGACTATTAAAAAGAAGACACAAAACATGGGTTGGACCATTATCAAGTTACTTTGTTAGTTTGGATGTTATATTTCTGATGGTCTTTGCCTATCTGAACATAGTCATGAGCCAGGAGAAGAGATGAAGGCCTCTTCATACCTTCTGATCATGTAAATATACCAGTTGTTGTAAGGAATTACTATCTTGATTCTCTGGAGAAAACGTGCAGCTTCCTTGAGCCCCTCATTTAACATAATAGTGTGTAAAACAGAGTGCTGCAGGGTTGTGGCAGGTCACACCTGCGTCTGTAATCCCAGCCACACAGGGAGCTGATGCAGGAGGAACACATTTTACTACAAGGGAATATTAGGGATCCCTTAGCTCAAAAAAATTTACAAAGTCTGGGGTATAGCTTGGGGTACAGCACTTTCCCAGTATGCACAAAGACCTAGGTATAATCTGTAGTCCTGCCCAAAAAAATTAAAATCCAAAAATACTGCTTTGTGACCAAATGTTATTAATATTGCGAGGGATTTTTTGTTTTGTTTTATAATGTACAGTCTCACTGTGTAGTGCAGCCCTTGAATTCATTTATATGGCCCAGGCTGGCCTCAGACTCCTAGCAGTCATCCTGCTTCAGCCTTCCGAGTACTGGGATTATGGGTGTGTGTCTGTACAGACAGTATCTTTAGATTTCTGAATATAAGTTTGTTTTAGTCCTTTTATGTGTAGTTTTATATCACTATTTAGAATGGTTTTGTTAGTGATCATAATCAGTTACTATACTATGATACTGCTGTAAGTTCTCTGGCTATCCGGCAGTGTGAGAGGAATGATAGAGAATGACAGTGTGGCCCATAAATACTATAATGCTTGGTAAGTCTGGAAACTAGTTTTCAGCCAGTTGGGTGATTGCATTCCAAAACCAGTGGTGGTGCGTGGTTGGTATACATTGACCTTCTGACGTCTCTTTCAGTTACTCCGGACTATGTCCCTCCTTTTGCACACTTTGACTTGGAAACTTTAGATGTAATACCTCATAGCAGTTCTGCGTCAGCAAAAAGCAGGAGCAAAGGAAAGATAAGTATGTTTCCTGCTTCCCTCAGCCACACTGAATTAACCAAAGACATTTTATATATGCTGCATATTTTTCCTCAGTCACTATATAAGCATCAGTAGTTGGAGAGATTATATAATTGAACTCTTTCTCACCAGGCATATAAATGCTTTGTAATCTAGGCTATAGTGTTAGCTGTTCTACTGAGTGGAAAGTTATTTCCTGAGAGCACTGATTAATTGAGCACTTAAGTCACTTTTCTCTTTTTAAAATATAAGGAGGAAGAAAACAAAAAGCAGATGATGGCAAAGCATCCCCTGCTGATAAACTTTCGAAGGAGGATAATTCAGAATGTGAACCTGTGGCATCTGGAAGAAGCCAGCTAGACAAGGTACTGGAGGGGTAGGTGATGAGAGTATGTACAGCAGCCCAGTGCGGTCTGCAGAGGGCCAGCCTGATTCCCTGTATTTTATAGAGGAGAACTTGGAGACTGAAGAGACAGTCTTTAAGGCTTTGGAATAACCAGTGACCTATTTACAAGCAAAGTGCAAATTATACTTTTTTTTTTTTGGTATTTTTTCAGACAAGGTCTTCACTTTATAATTCACACTGACTTCAAACTCACTGTGTAGCCAGCTTGGCCTCAAATTTATAGCAGTCCTCATGCCTCAACCTCCTAAATGCTGGCATCACAGTTGTACACCTTCACACCCACACCTACTCAAGTTACTGTTAAATCTTTACTTCTGTACACAATGCTGTTATTTTTTTCTAATTATTTTCCTTCATGTTTTACTCCCATTGTTTTGTATCCCAGTAGTGTTTTGAATTTTTCCTTGCAGTAATTATTAAATTCTATCTAAGACATACTTCCTGTGTTTCTGCTAGTGTCTTTCCCCATCTAATCCTAAATTATCAGCTTCTCAGTGAATTAAAATAATTGCAAATGCTTAGTACAGTTTCTGATACTTGATTAGCAATAGTTTCTTTTCCTGTAATTTCCTGTATTGAAAAATAGATTTCATGCATTTGTGAAATTGCCTGGGCTCCACATGGATCATAATCACTCTGTCTTTCAGTTACTATTTATTATATAATTCATTGTTCTAAATGTCTTAAGTGCAGTTTAGTATTAATGGCTACATGTTAGCCGGAAGGTATTTATGCAGTGAAAATGTAACTTTTTACATAAGGGTAATGCTTATTTGCGCTTTAGAATGGTCATTAAAAATTAGATAAATATAGAAGATTTATTCTCTTTTTTGCTGCATGTTTTGATTACTTTTTTCTCATTGTTGAGACAAAATACCTGACACCCAAAATGAAGGAAGGAAAGGTTTATTTAACTTACAGTTTTTGGATGTTTCAATCCATACTCCTCTGGCTCCAAGGCAGGATGGCGTGGTTGAGGGGCAGTTGGTCATGGTGGCCACAAGGGACAAGAGCAAACAGGATAAAAGGAGGAAGCAGCCTCCTCCCCTCCCCTCTGTTATATGCTGGCCCTGCGCCCCTGGGCCAGTGCAGCCCTCACACCACCACTCCCAGCACTAGACCACCATCCAATCACAAACATTAGATTCAGCCACTCCATGACTGCAGGAGGCTTGTGGGGGAACTTTTAAACAAATGACAAAATGATCCGGCCTGCAGATCAACAAGTTCAGAGCTCCTGGAGGGGAAACGGGGATTAAATAAAAGACATGGGGGAGACAAAAAGAGACGAAGGCAAGTTGATGTGACCCAATCAAGCCTCCGGTTTATTGAGAAAATAATCACACCTTTTATAGGCTAAGGGCGGGAGCTGGGACAGGAAGAGGTTAAACAGATGAATACAACAGGGTTACCATCACATCCGGATAAGTGACGTAAGCAGAAGAGGATTATGGTTAATGTAGGCAGGCGCAGTGCCCATAGGAGAGAGAGAGAGAGACATCTAGGCAGCAGTGCCTGTCACTCGGCTCCCTACAACAAAACTGTATCTTTCCTTCCAGGAGTTCACAGGGAAGGAAGCGAGGGCATCAGTGTCCCTGCAGAATTATCGCGCTTTCTTCCGGGAGCTGGATATTGAGGTCTTCTCCATTCTCCGCTGTGGACTCGTAACCAAGGTTATCTTAGATACTGAAATGCACACCGAAGTGAGTGACATACTGGAATCTCAGAAATTTGTCTTCTTTCAGGAAGTTCTTCAGCTCTTCGTATTTAAAAAACAACACTGTAACATTGAGAAAAGTTAAAGTGTTGGATGAAGCTCAGTGACAGAATACTGGGTTCTATCCCCAGTACCACAAAAGGAAGGAAGAAGTGATTTAGACTCAACTTTAAAGCCTTTAGAGTACCGATGAGTGGTCATCCTCATCACTTAGATGTTTATAAGCCAGAAATTTTCAGCAGTGTGTTAAAAATGACAGATCACAGGCCAGGAATATAGCTTAATGGCACCTACATCTGCCTGCCAAGTGTAAGGTCCTGAATTTGATTCCTGGTACTAGAAAAAGAAAGAGAGAAATGACAGATTACTGATAATACTTAGTTTGCTTTTGTAGAGGAGTTGTTCTCTGGTGTACAGAGGTTAGCGCTGTTTCACGACGTTTGTTCAGCATCTACAAATGCTTATAGAGCCATTTTTTAGGTGAAAGCATTTACTAGTAATTCAGACACTGACAGTGCAATAGTATATTCAGCATGGTGTTTGCCTTCAAATAAGTTATAACCTAATTGGAAACGTGATAAAGTGATAAACCAGCAGTAACTATTGCTGGACTAGACCACATTAATGGACTAGCAAATCCTCAGAGAATTATATTTCTAATGAAATTGAGAGTAAAGATATTTTCACAAAAGAAAGTACCTTTTGATATGAGATTTCACTGGATAGTAGACTGTCTCCACACTAAGAAATACAGAAATACCTTGGACCTTTACTTGATAGTTATAAGAATATGGGCCTCTCCAGAACAGTAAATGTCTTTGTTAGGTGGGACACTGGAAATTTAACACATGGTCTTCACAGTGATTTATACTCCGGGCCATTTTTTCACTTTTATTTTTTAAGGCAAGGTATTGCTCAGTTACCTAGCTGGGTTTCAGTTTGTAACAGGTGTGTGCTACAGCATCTCACTTTTTTCTTTTTTCCTTTTTTTGGTTTTTTGAGAGAAAGTCTTGTTTGTAGCCCAGGCTGGCCTCAGAGTCCTTCCTCAGTCTCCCCAGTGCTGGGGTTACAGGCATGCACCACCGTGCCTGGCTCTTTTTTTTTTTTTTTTTTAATCTTCACATCAGCTTTCCTGTAGAAAATTCTCCAAAATTGTATGTGGAGGCTGAGGATATAGCTCAATGGCATAAGTGCCATTCTGGCAAGTGCAAGGCCCTAGATTTAATTCTTGGTACAAAAGAAAGGAAAAATGAATTGTGTGTGGAGTGAACAGTTTGGAGTGGGACTTCATCCTTTCTACTTCTGGTAGTGTAATATACTTGTAAAGATTCTGCCTGTAGTTAATAGTAAAACATTAAGGGAAAGAAAATATGAAAGGTGAAATTGCGAATTAGTCTTTTTGGGCCAGGGATTTAGCTCAGTGGCTTAAGCACTTGCTTGGTAGGTACAAGGTCATGAGTTCGATCCCTGGTACCAAAAAAAAAAAAAAAAAGGAAAATGAATTAGTCTTTTTTTCTGCACAGTACTGAAGATAGCAACCAGGGCCTTATAAGTTCCCTACCACTGGCTTATATCCGTAAGCCTTCTTTTTGAGGCAGAGTCTTGCTAGGTTGCCCAAGCTGGCCTGAAGCTCATTATCTTTTTGCCTCAGCCCCTTGAGTAGCTGGGAGTATAAGCATGTAACACTGTGTCTGGCAAATTAGTCATTTTTACTAGTGTGTCTTTAAAAATACACCCTAGTTTTCTAGGGAAAAAGATACAAAATGAAAGTATGTTTTCTGGATGGGTTTTTTTGTTTTGTTTTGTTTGAGACAGGGCCTCACTGTGTAGTTCAGGCTAGGCTTGAACTCCTAGCAATCCTGCTTCAGCCTCCCAAGTCCTGGGGTTATGTCTTCTAAACCACATTTTCTCCTATTCTTTGTATGTGTTTTGAGACCAAATCTCACTGTGTAGTTCAGGCTGGGCTTGAACCTGCTACATAGCCCAGGCTGGTTGCAAATTTGAAGTCATGGCAGTCTTTCTGCCTCAGCCTTCTGAATGCTGAGGTTATAGGTATGCACCACCATGCCCAGCTAGGATTCCTATTTCAATAATTTGGAAATTTGCTTTATTTTGGAAACAAATTTTGACATACTGAAAAGTTGACAGAACACAACTACTACATTTTACATGAGGTGGAGAAAATTCATCTTTTATTAAAAGTCAGATTCTCTACTCATTTGGACGCATGAACCTGAAATATACAAAAACCGAAATGAGCAGGCAGGCGTGGTAGCACATGCCTTTAATCCCAGCACTTGGTAGGCTAAGAGAGGGGGCCTACTTTGGGTTCAAGGCCATCCTGAACTACAAAGCAAGACCCTGTCTCAAGAAGACAAAAACACAGACAGAGAGACCAGGACCCATGTATCTGGAATTAGTACCTCTTTTTCACTTCATAGGCTACAGAAGTTCTGCAACTTGGGCCACCAGAGCTGCTTTTCTTGCTGGAAGATCTCTCACAGAAGTTAGAGAACATGCTGCTACCTTCTTGTACTAAAAGAATGTCTTTCCTCAAGGTCAGTGTAGGCAGAGCAATTCCTGAGCTGTATGACTCTGGAAGCAAGTAGGTGTGACAATTCGTCTTTCTGACCTCATGCTTGGGTATGTGGATAACATGTTGGCAGCCCTGTTGCCAGATCAGATTCATTTTGCTTAGAAAGGAATTCTGAGCTAGGGCTGTAACTTAGTGGTATTAATAGCATGGACAACACCCCAGCTTTGATCCCCAGCACTAAGGAAAAAATGAAACACAGACCTCTGCTATAGCAAACAAAAAGGTACTCAAAACAAGAAATTTACTACTAAGTTTTCCGAACATTCCTCTTTCTTGATCTTCACTTGGGTCTTATTTGTGTGATGCAGACAATCAAATCCAGGGTCTACGAATGCTAGGCAAATGTTCCACCACAGAACTATGCCCCAGAGCCCTTGGGTTTTTCTTTTTGTTTTTTCTGTAGTAGGCCTTTGCCTTAAACTACATCCTCTGTCCTTTTTATTTTGAGACAGGGTCTCACTGAGTTATGAAGTAGCCTCAGCCTCTCAGAGTGCTGGGGTGACAATCCTGCACCATCACATCCAGCTCCCAAACAGCCTGTGCCTAAGCTTCATTGTAGCTGCCTAGAGAGGTTAGAGCCTAATTGTTTATGCAAGGTACAGACACATATTTTAGCATGTGGAGGGCCAGCTGGGTGGAAAGAGCAGTGATACGTTAAAGACTTGGGTGCCAGGATCTAAACGTTAACACATCTAGGGTTATGGGCAGTGTATTCTTTGTACTATTTGCTCTACATTCCTGTCAACTTAAACCTTTTCTATTATAGTGTGAACTTTGTTAGTGGTAATTGACCTTTTTTTTTTTTTTTTGTCTTTTTTGAGACAGGTTCTCACGCTATGCAGTTCAGGCTGGCCTTGAGCTCAATTTGTAGCCCAGGCTGGTCTCGAACTCGCAACGATCCTCCTGCCTCAGCCTCCCAAGTGCTGGGATTACAGGCATGAGCCACCACTAGACTGACCTAGTCTTAAATATTGCTGTTAACTCTATATAGAGGTGTACTTCTGCAGCCATTTAGAAACAAAGGTGTTTGTCTGTTTTGGAAACAGTGTCTCATTTTATAGTTCAGGCTGGCCTTGAACTTGTGGCAGTTGATCCTCCTGCTTCAGCCTCCCATGTGCTGGGATTACAGTGATGTGCAAAAGAGAAAATGGAGTCCTTGAAAGCACCTCATTTTCCCCTCCACCCTACTTAAGAGTACAAATTTGACTAAATTCAGGCGGGTATGGAGGTGTACACCTGTAACCTCAGCATGTGGGAGGCTAAGACAGGTGGATCACCATTGAGTTCCAGGCCAGCTTGAGCTGTAATAGCAAGCTCCAGTCTCAAAAGTCAAATAAAAGTTTTACCGGGGCTAAGGATTTAGCTCAGCAGCATAAGCGCCTGCCTTGCAAGCTGGCAGTCGTGAGTTCCATCCCTGGTACCGATAAAAAGGAAAAAGACACACAAAAAAAAAAAGTTTTACCAAACTTCATAATGAACTCTTAGTTTCAGAGAAGCTATCAAACAGTTTCTTCCTCCATAATGCTGAATTTGTTATAGAGCAAAGGAAGCCGGAATATTGGATTTTCACATCTTCATCAGAGCTCTGCATCGGAAGTCGTTAATTGTGTTGTGCAGCTGGTAACCCCAATGTGTAACCATCTGGAAAACATTCACAACTATTTTCAGGTTAGAAGACTGTCTCATCATTATAGAGACCTAGAAATCAATAAGTAAATACAAGATTTCGTTTTTGACTAAGAAAAACAAGAGAAGTGAGAGAAGTTGCTGGAGCAGCTGCTCTAACATTGTTTCCCTTTTAGTGTTTAGTCCCTGAGAATCATGGTGTGCCCACAGTGGGTGGCCCTGGAGGGAACGCTCAGGAGTACCAAATAATGTCTTCCTGTTATCTGAGGCTCCTGCAGATTTTTCATTGGCTTTTTGCTTGGTGAGTATATGGGGAGAAATGGTGGAGAGAAACGAGTATGTACTTGATGAACAGGCACTAGGATATAAAGAGAAGGAAAAAGTTCAAAATAATATAGAACTATGGTGAATTTGTTCTTTTTCTCTTGACTTGTTTTTTACAGCCACTGCTGTTAACGCACTGCACAGATTAGGTGACGTATTGATTGTTAGTTAACTAATAACAGATACGGCCATTTTACTCCTCAGTTTCCTATAGCACAATCTCTGTAATAACTATTTAACTTGGTATTTAAATGTTTCAGTGTGGTATAGTGATACTCTCCTATAATCTCAGCTTCTTGGGATCCTGGAGCAGGAGTATCACAGGTTTAAGGCCATTCTGTGCAATTTAGCAAGACCCCATCTCCAATAAAATGTGCTGGGATGTAGCCCAGTAGTAGATCCTCAGTACTTTAAAAAAATGTTTCTAGAGTCAGATAGAATACAAATCTGTAATTTCAGTTGTCTGAGTCAGGAGGATTCCAAGTTGTACGCCAGCCTAAGCAAGGACACCCTGGACTCCATATCAAGACCCCATTCCCAAAACACAAATAAACCAGAAAGAAAAAGTTGCGGTGTTTTTTCTAGAGAAGTTATGGATAAATCCTAGTATGTGTGGTAAAGACCTACATGCTGTGTGAACGGGGGTGTTTTGGATGGGTGTTCCAGGAGACCTATTCAGGCCCTTAAGGATGGGTGACCTGGAGGGGGTAAAGGAGAGACCCAGAATGCACAGGATGGATGTAAGATGAACAAGGGAGGTCTGTCTCGTAAATACTTTAGTGTTCCAGATCGAACTCAGTTCCACTGTCTGCTTTACTCAGGTTTTCCAGGCAATCTAACCCAACCTTAGGTTTATGCTAAATTTTGTATACTGAGTTACAGGCATGTACATCCAGTTACCTACTCCCCCCCGCCCCCTGAGTCATTAACACTTCAGACTCCTTGCCTCCAGCAGGACGCGTTGTCGCTATTGCCTGGCTCTGCCTAGCTTGGTAAAGGGCACTGCCAATTGCCTCAGCCAATTGTTCCCCTACTCTGCACTTCTCTCCCACGTATAATCCATCTCTCCTCTGCACTGATCTCGCCTGAACCAGATTAGTGTCATTGTTGGTCTTGGCCTTTGGTGACAGTGATCCTCCAAGACAGGCCTAATTTTGTCTTGTCCTAGTCTTGGACTTTGATTGCAATTTGGTTTTCCTTGAGATCAAACTCTTGAGCTTTTCTCAGGACTTCTGCCTCATTCCTGCCGTTGCACTTATGTCTTGCTCTCCATTTCCATCCATACTGAGTGCTTTTCAGCACCGTATACAGTTTCCACCTGAACAACTTTTCTCTTCCTCTTTAAGCTTTAGTCTTTTCTGACTCACCAAATCCTATGAGGTCAGAATTTAAACTCACTTCTTCAGAGACACCTTCTCTAGTCCCTGAGCTACGTAAACTTCTTTCCTGACTTTCTGATCCGGTTTTCTCCTAATTGTCTTGCAAAACTTACCATACTTTCTTGTAATTGTTTACTCATCTGTCTTTTCTACTGAACTGTAAACTTCATCAATCATTTGTTTTGTCATTAAAGGTATTACCCAACTAAAGATTTGAATAGACAGTCATCCGGACAGGTAGAAATGGCCAATACATACATGAAGGGATGATTTTTGAGGGTGGGTACAGGGAATCAAACTCCACTACCTTGTGCGTGCCATGCAGTTGCTTGTGCCACTGACTTGACCCCTTGAAGAGACAGTTTTTATTAGCCATTAAGGAAATGCAGATTAAAAGCACAGCATATTCAATAGGATGACTAAATGAAAGACACGCCGCATCAAGTGTTAGTGCAGTTGTGGGACAGCTGGGATGATTATGTGCTACTGGTGGAAGTTCAAATCATGGAAACACTTTGGAAAGCAGTTTGTAAAGTTTCTTACACAGACACAGCTGTGCTTCAACCCTGTTATTCCCTAGGTATTTACCCAAAATCTCTGGATTTTTTGAGACAAGGACATGCTATGTAACCCAGACTGGCCTTGAATTTGTGGGATTAAAGATGTGTGCCACCACACCTGACTCCAGAAAAATTTTATGCAAGTGTTTATAGTGTCTGTATTCATAATATCTCCAGAGTGAAAACAACCCAGATGTCCATCAGCTGGTGAATGTACAGGCAAATTGTGGCATATCTGTATGATGACATACTGTGTGCCCCAACATGGGTAAAAAGGATAATGGCAAGTTAAAAGCAAGACTACAGGGTTCATTGTATTTTAATTATATCATATTCTAGAAAAATCAAATAATATTACTATGGTGGAAAGCAGACCACTGAGCAAAAGTATGAAGGAGGAGATGAGTTACACAGGCACATAAAGAAAGCCTTGGGGGTGATAATAGATATATTCACTATCTTCTAGTGATGATTTCATGAGTTTTTAAGTCAAAACTAACAAAACCAACACGTTAAATACATGTCCTTTTTTTGGTCTTTTTCAGACGGGGTCTTGCAATGCAGTCCAGGCTGTCCTTGGGCTCCCTTTGTAGCCCAGGCTGGTCTTGAATTTGCAAACAGTCCCCTTGCTTCAGCCTCCCGAAGGCTAGGATTACAGGTGTGGGCCCCCCCACCCAGTTTAAATATATGTCCTTTATAATCCCAGCTTTCAGGAGAGTGAATCAGAAGGATCACTGAACTGTAGGCCAGCTGGGCTACATAAGGAGAGACCGGTCTCAAACAGACCAAAATGGAAAGAGAGAGCGAGGGAGAAATACCAAGACTTGACATGTGAAAGAGCAGTTCTTTATCCAGCCCCTACTATGACAGTCTGACACAATTAGTCCTGTGTTGTTGGAGGCTTACCTCTAAAACCGAGGAACTTTCTTCTTGGATGATAAACCTCTGGGGACTGTTAGATCTGTAAAATCTATTCTGAATGCACTTTAGCTTCTGATCTCACATCCTAGAGCTGTGACTGTATTTGATGCTTATGTCCTTTCAGTGCTTGTTACATGATTGACTTGCTAATGGCACAGATTGGGGGCCAGGATCTTCAAATGCCATCTGAGTTGTCCCCCAGAAACAGCTAAAAGACCTTGATTTAACTTTCCTTTAGGAGTGGATTTTCTAACATTGAGAATCACAGTTATCTATACTCAGCCCTTGAGGTCCTTACTGGACGAGTAAAGCAGTTACAGCCTGATGAGGCCTTGGAGGAGCTTCTCAGGTAGGCCGTAATGCAAACCTTCCAATGCTCTCCTAGAAAGTGGATTGCAGGATTTCTTTGCACATGTTTGGTCATTAGGAATTGTAACGGAAATTAGTATTTTCAGCTGTTTTCCGTCAGCATTTGAAGTTTCTCAACTATATATTCTGGTAAATTCTAAAGTATTGAGAGCCTGGGACCAAATTATCTAAAACCTCAGGCATAATTTTGCATAATTGTGATACCCATCTTCCATTATATCCGTGAATAGAAAGTAGATCATATATGATATAGTCATTAAAAGCCATAATTGCTTTTCACCTTGTCTCTAGTGAATTCAGATTTTTTTTTTTTTCAGTTTATAATGAAGAAAGAGCCAGGCGTGGTATCCCCTGTAATTCAGCACTCAGAAGGCTGAGGCAGGTGGTTCATCAAATCATCGCAAGTTCAAGGCCAGTTTGGGCTACATAGTTGGTTCAAGACCAGCCTGAACTGCATAATGAGACCTTGTCTCAAAAAAAAAAAAAAAAAAAAAAATCTGTAAAAGAGGATAATTCTGATTAGGCTGTCGAACAGTACTAGGGATCTGGAGCAACTCCTGTGAATTTAAACCCATCTACATGTTGGTTTCTTGTCTCCTTACAGCCAGAGCTTCAATTACTTGCAGAATTTCCACAACAGCATCCCCAGTTTCCAGTGTGGTCTTTGCCTCATCAGAATTTTGATGGCCCTTTTCAAGAGATCAGTAGATCCTGCTCCAAAGAAAGAAAAAATTGGTGATTGCGCAGATCCTCCTTTTTTTTCTTTTTCCACGAACAGGATTAATTTCTTACGAACTTGTAGCTTCTCAGAACTTGGACATTTAGGGTCGTGCAAGAAGGCCACTGTTCCAAAAGGGACTAAGACTAATTTCCACTCACATTGCTAGGTGTGACTTTGGTTAGATCAGCTAGCTAGCTAGCATATTTTTTTCTTTTCAGATGATGAGAACTGAATCCAGTTTCTTATACATATGAAAGCTATGCTTGTGCTAAGCTACGCACTCAGTCGTGGATAATTTTCTTTTTGGCTTAAATTTTAACCATATGATGCTGCTTTTTTTTAAATTATCTGAGGCATTTGATAAAAGACATAAACCACTAGGTTAATAGAATGGGAGATAAAATTAGGATCAAATATAAAGGAAGTGTTGGCCCCTTTCCTGATCTAACATTCTTTTTTTTTTCTGACTTTCTTTCATTTTTTGAGACAGGGTCTCACTATGTAGTTCCAGCTGACCTTGAACTCACTATGTATCCCAGGTTGGCCTTTTAACTTGTTATGTAGTCTAGACTGACCTCAACCTTGTAACCCTCCTGCCTCAGCCTCTGGAGTGCTAGTTCTTTGTTTTTTTGAGACAGGAGGGTCTCACTATGATCTAGTCTGGCCTAGAATTTGGAGTCTTCCTGCTTCAGTCTCCCAAGTGCCAGAATTACTTTTCTTTTTATTGAGGACTAAACTTTTGCACTGAGCTATATCCTCAGTTCTTTTGTTTCTTTGTTTCTTTTTTTTTTTTTTTTTTTTTTTTGAGGCAGAATATTGCTACACCACTAAATTGTCCAGTCTAAGCTTAACTTTGTAGTGTTCTTGCCTTAGCTTCCTGAGTGCTGAGATCAAAGATGTACACCATCATACCTTTTGACCTTTTTCTTTTTTACCATAACTCTTAAAATCCTGCTTATCCTACTGGGCAGCACAAGCAGAAAGCAAGATGATTATACGTGAAACCTCTCTTATGCCCCGCTGGTGAGAGGGGAGGCTTAGTCTGAGCCTGGGTTATCCATTGCTGTTGTTCTGTCCAAGAGAGCAAGCCCAGCTTCCACTGCCAGCTGTGCTCCTCCCTGTGCCTGTGTGGCCCCTCTGTGTATGCTGAAGGGTGGGCTGAGGGCTGCTAAGTGTTGGTTCTTGGATGGGTTTATTTCTGGTAGAAGTGTCATTGGAACAGGAATAAACAGTTTAAAAAAACCTCAGAGACTTCTTAGTTAATAAAAATCCTTTTAATCGATAATTATCTCCAAAAATGTGAGAGACATGAGTGAATTTATCTGATATTACACATTATCTTTGTATATCAAAATGTCACTATGAACTTTTAATATATGCAGTATTATTTCAATTAAATATATATGTAATTTTTTTTAGAGAATGGGGTTAGTTTCTATCACATGTGAGATGCCTGTGCTATGTTTTCTAACAGCTTTCCTGGCCAGACAGTTCCTCTGCCGGGTGTGGCCACATGGAGAGAAAGAGAAGACCTCTGTTTTCAAGGATCAGCTTCAGGATTTGCTCTGGTGAGGTGTTCAGTGTCTTCTAGTGAGCCAATCGCCTTTTCCCACTTAGCACCATCAGAATCCCTCACTTGGGCACACACCAATAAATTACCTTTTTTAGGGGGAACTTGAGCACAATGAAGTATGTTTAAAGTGAACGTAACTCGAGATCTGTGGATCTTAATTACTTCTAGTTCTGCTTACTGTTAACTACTAATGCCTTGTTGCTAAATCAAATCAGAAAGAAACAGAGGTGTCTGCAGTTTTATGATTGAGTTAATAAAGCTTAATAGTGGGCAGTATCTCATGAGAGAAATGTGGACATGAGGGTTCCGTGGCTGGCATTCATACCCTCTGACTTTCCTTGCAGCATTTACCTGGAGCACACAGACAGTGTGCTGAAGGCCATAGAGGAGATTGCTGGCGTTGGGGTCCCAGAGTTGATCCACTCTCCAAAAGATGCCTGTTCTCCCACATTCCCTACACTGACCAGGTATGGGGCTCTTGGCTGCCATCATTTTCCTAAGATAAAGTCACATTGTGTGGAGAATCTATTCCCGTCCTCATCACGGTCCTGGAAGGTTTATATATATAATCCCATGGAGATGGTACTAGAATTCTAGAGAGTTAATTCCAGTCTACCATTTCCTAAGGCAAGAATTCAAACACTAAGACATATATACAGTCTTAGGGAGCCCAGAGGTTCTAAGTCTAGCCAAGATGGTGGTTCACCAGCCCAAAGGCCCTAACCCAGAGCCCAGCTTGGGTTTTAATAATCCTCCATGAGGGGAGTGGCTTGGGAGGAGTGACACTAAGAGTGGTGGGAAATACGTGACTGCTATGACTACTGTGAGTTGGCCTAGGTAGGAGGTCTGAGGTCACCTCTGTGAAATGTAGAGAGAGTAATCTGCATAACACAGCTGGGGTAGTATCTAATAATTTGGGTTGGTACTTCAGTTCTGATGTGGGAAGCCATAGCCTCTTTCTTGAGGCTCAGACCTAGCCGGTAGCGTGGAGCACACTCCATCCCACCTGACTCAACTACGTATTTGGGAAGTCACTGAACGAGTAACACTGACTTGTCACTCGGCTTCACAGATTATACATTGGCCCCTCAGCCAGCCCAATTTACGTTGCTTAAAGCTAGCTGAAGGGAAAAGAAATAACCTAGCCAGCTCTGTACATACCAATACTTGGAAACAGGGCCAAAATGAAGATAGTTGCTCTTCTGTTCCAGGAGAGTCCTCTGGGTAGTTTCCCACAATACTGCCCGATGGATGTGTTTTCCAAGTTCTGATACAGGTGGTGGTACTGTCACTCATTCAGAATGGAGTGTCTGCTGCTCTACCTTCCTTCCAAGGGCTCTTCGGCTAGTCTGTAGAAGGACCTCGCTGGGAGGGAAGTTTTAGTGGGTGCAGGGTTCAAGGGTAATGAACTTTGCCTCTCTCTGCTTTTTTCCTTTAAACTTTGAGACTAGAGTTAGGATTATAGTTAAGGGTAGTACACATGCTTAATATGTATGAGGCATGTGTTCAGTGCCCAGCATTACAAAACCAGGATAATTAGGCACGGTAGGTAGCATATGCCTGTAGTACGGCTCTTTGAAAGATTAAGGCAGGAGGATTTCATGTTCAAACCTATCCTAGACACCTTAGTGACTCTCTTTATCAAAATAAAAGTGAAAACAGCACTGGGGATGTAGTATAGTGCAAAGGCCTTGAGTTCAGTCTTGTGCCACAAAATATTTTTCTCTCTCTCTCTTTTTTTTTTTTTTGGTGCCAGCGATTGAACTCACGACCTCACGCTTGCCAGGCAGGCACTTACACTGCTGAGCTAAATCCCCAGCCCCTCCTCCAAATTTTTTTTAATTAAACTTGAGACCATTTTTCAAGGAGGGTGACTGTTGTCTAGTTTTTTTTTTTTTTTTTTTTTTAATCGGTACTGAGGATCGAACTCACAACCACCTGCTTGCAAGGCAGGTGCTTATGCCGCTGAGCTAAATCCCCAGCCCCTGTATCTAATTTTGTATGTCTAAAATGGTTTGGATCTCATAATATTAGTAGCTCTCTTATACTCATATGGTTCATACAGCACTTTCACGTTCCAAATCTTTGGCCCTTTCTGTAATTCTCATAAGAGTGGTCATCATTCTCCTCCACTACAGTTGAGGAAACAAAAGTGAAAAGGGAACCTCACCGGCTTGCATGGGGGCAGTAGGATGACCACAGACCATCACTCAACCCAAATCTTCTCCCCACCAGTTCACTGTTCTTCCCGTTCCACTGCTGCCACCTGTCATGAAAGTCAGCTCCATTGTTTCGTGGGCTGACTCGGCCTCATTCTGACTCCTCCTACTCTTCTCCCTCTTTAAAGGACTCTAATGAAAGAACATTCAAAGCGGTGAGGAAAGAAGGTACTTTTGTTCTAGTGAACGTTTCCCAGGAAGTCTTAAGTGTGTTATCTGTCTCTCTCTGTTCCTTTCCCTTCTTTGCTTTTTTCTTTTCTTTTTGCAGTCCTGGGAATTAAAGTCGGCCTTCACACTGAGCTACATCCCCAGGGCTTTCTTATTTTGAGAAAATGTCTCAGTAAGTTGCCACGGCTGAGCTTGACTTTGTCATCCTCTCTCCTCAGCCTCCTGGTTGCTGGGGTCGCTAGCATGCACTGTGCCTGGCCCTGAAAATTCTTTCTGAGCAGGGCATCGTTATGTAGATGTGCTTGCTTTTCTCTCGTAGGCAGACTTTTGTCATTTTCTTCCGTGTGATGATGGCTAAACTGGAGAAGACAGTGAAAAGTCTCCAGGCTGGCTCAGCAGTACAGCCACCAAAGGTGGGTCAGACACTCCCCTCACCAGGAAATGAACGCTGAATTGCTTGGAAATTTCTGATTCTTTTATTTCTTGGGTCTAGTGTTCTTCTTAACCTATCACCTTTGATTTAGCAAGATTAGAATTTTTTTTCAAAGACCTTCTGTTTTAATTTCCTTTTCCTCTAGTGAAAATGGGGCCCTGTTTTCCCTGGCTGCTGGGGAAAGGTGGGAAGGGAAAGGCCAGCTGATTTAAGATGAGCTAACCTGTTTAAGACGTGTAGGCCTGGACAGCCCGTGAACCAGAACTCAGCAAGAGCAAGGGCAGGCACAGGGCCTCGGGAGCCAATGAGCTCTGGGTACCAGCAAGCGTGCTGCAGAGGCTCTTTATCTATGTAGAAGTACTGTGGCGTCACCACAATGTGACAGTTCAGATCATCTTCTTGGGTCCACTGGATGTTACAGCTTTTTGGAGGGCCAGTTGGCTTCCATCTCAGAATAGCTGTGCAAATGAAGACCTGTGTGATATCGGGAGTCCAGGAGGAGAAGGCTGTAGCTGTGATTCACAGGCAGTGTGTTTGGCATCCCCAGGTCCATGAAGAGAAGCTCCTGTACTGGAACATGGCTGTTCGAGACTTCAGTATCCTCATCAACCTGATAAAAGTGAGTAGGGAAGAAAATTTTTTTAAAAAGTGAGTAGGGAGCCTCGCTGACCTGACTCGAGTGGTCACTGAAACACTGCCTAGAGGGCTTTCAAAGCTGCTCCTCCTTGTTCCCCTCCCACCTTCTTTGGGGACCCCCTGGTTGTCTTCCTTTCTTTCAGCCTGTCTCTGGCTCTTCCAGGCCAGCTGTCTCTCCTTAGGTGGTGGTGTTTGTTTTTCCCTGCCTCCCACCTGGACCACATTACTTAGCCCCCGTCATTCTTGGTTCTCCTGAGTGAGTGCTTTCACTGGCCCTCCAGTGCCTGCACTCTGCTCAGGCTTGTGCTCCAGTCCTTGACATCCCGCCCACTGACGACTTCCCTCCCTCACTGCATCATTCTGAAGGCTGCAACCCTCTGACAGAGCCGTGCTCTCCACCTGCCCAGTGGGAATCCTTACCTTTTTTCCTTTGCTCCTCTCTTCCTTCTCTTAGAGTTCAGTTTTGGAAGTTACTTTCTTCTGTGAATTAATTTGTAATAAACCAGCCAATGTGCCTTCTTTGGTTTAGAAGTTCCTGTAGCTCCCGGAACTGCCGTGCACAGTTGAAAGGGGCCGGCCTCGAGGAGCAGGCTTCAATTTAGCTCCTTGTCTTTTATGCCTCTAGGTGTTTGATAGTCATCCAGTGCTGCATGCATGTTTGAAGGTGAGAGATTTATTGGACCTTGTTTATTGTTTGTTTCATGGTCCTAGGGATTGAACCCAGATGCTCAACCACTGAATTATACCCCTGTTGGTTTGGGTTTTTTTGTTTTGTTTTTTTGTTTGTTGTAGTTTTTGAGGAAGGGTCTGGATAAGTTGTCCCAACTAACCTTAAACTTGTGATTCTCATGGCTCAGCCTTGTGCATCTGGCCTGGTGTCCTGTTCTTGTTATTTTCTGGCCTCTTTCCCCTTCTCCACTCATATATCACCTGGCACAGTACAGGAGACAAGTCAGTCTGAGAGCGTGATTTCTGTGATTGGCCAGTTTGGAAATCCACCCTCTGCAGTTTCTTCCTCTTAGGAATGAGTTACCCTTGGGAGCTGGAGTTCTTCCCACCCACTCTTGGGCTGGATGAGGCCTGTGGCCTGTGGCTGTATCAGCCATATCCAAGGCAAGTAAATTCTGCCTGCATTTTCCAGATCAACCTTTTTATACTGTTCCATATTTTTTGCTTGTTTTTTGGTAGTGGGGAGTGAACGCAGGACCTCATAGTTGCTTCTAACTACATTCCCCAGCCCTTTGGGGATTTTTTTGGTACTGGGGATCGAACTTGCGACCTCACACTTGCCAGGCAGGTGCTTATGCCGCTGAGCTAAATGCCCAGCTGGTCTTGAACTTGCAGTTTTGCCTTAGCCTCCCTAGTAGCTAAGATTACAGGAATGTACCGCTATTTGAATTTTTGGGTTTTGTTGTGAGCCAGGATCTCACTATAGATAGTTCAGGCTGGTCTTGAAGTTACTATGTAACCAAAGCTGGCTTTGAACTTGTGATGATCATCCTGCCTCAGCCTCCCGAGTGCTAGAATCACAGGTGTGCACCACCTTGCCTAGCTCAAATTTGTCTTTTATGTATAAAAATAAAAACATAACCTTCTTGGGCCTGGTAGTGCTAGGCTGTCACTGGCAGAGTTTTTCACATAAAGCTTCCTGCTAGAGTCACCTGTGTGTCTCTTTTCTTCAGTATGGACGTCTCTTTGTGGAAGCGTTTCTGAAGCAATGTATGCCGCTCCTAGACTTCAGCTTTAGAAAGCACCGGGTAAGAGTTGAGAGCAAAGGCTTGCTCTGAAGAGCTGCTGAGAAGATAAGGCCACAGTCCCTTATGGGCTGGGCTGGGAACAGTCCCTCTGCCTGAGTTCTGGGCCACATGGTGTCTCACACCACTTTCAGGCTAGCCCAAGGGGTCTCCACAGGACTGAGTGTTCTACAGAGGGCCACCTGCAGGCATGGTATTCCTGGTCTGAGGAATCCCTTTCAGCTTGCTTCATTGTGCTGCTGGAGTCCAGGCCTTGACATGTTACCTGTCATGTGCCTATTCTGGGCTATCCTGTGTCTACTTTTTTTTATTTTTAATTTTTTCTACTTACTTACTTACTTACTTATTTATTTTACCGGTACCAGGGATTGAACTCACGACCACGCACTTGAAAAGCAGGTGCTTATGCTGCTGAGCTGTGTCTACTTTTAGGAACTAGTCATAAAAATAGATCTCATGTGTGTTGTAAAACTGCTGTTTTAGTGTGTAGTCTTGGTGAAGTTTTTTTTAGCCAGGTGACACCTGGGGCTACAGTTGTAAAACAAAGATAAAAATGAAGATAATTTGTCATACATATTTTGTAAATTGACTTTGCAAAATACCAAAGTCCCTCCTGTTTGCTATTTGGTTAGTCTTTCATAACCATCAAAGAGAAAAGAGAAGTGGTAATTTATCCTAATTTGCAAATGAGAAAGCTGAGATGGGAAAATGTACTTCAGACTTCAGTGTGTGTCTTGCACCTGGCAGACTGACATGGGGATAGAAGCTGGAGCCGCAAGTGTGAGCCAGCGCCACTGCTGAGGGTCAGTTAAGATGATTATCCTCGGGGGCTGGAACCTGAAGTTCTGCCTCTTTGGATTGCAAAGATGTTTTGCATCTAAAATGTGATTAGAACATTTCATGCTGGGCTTATGAATTTTGTTGTTTTTAGGAAGATGTTTTGAGCCTGCTGGAAACCTTCCAGCTGAATACGAGGCTGCTTCATCACCTGTGTGGGCATTCTAAGGTAAGGGGAAGCAGGCCTTAGCCTCTGCTTCTGGGGCCAGGCTCCTGCCGCCCTCCTGTGCCTTTGCACAGGGCACTGTGTGCAGAGGCAGTTTATTCAGGGCAGTCAGAGCCTTCACAAGGCACGGTGCATGCCTCTGAATTACAGCTACTCAGGTTACGGAGGCAGGCTTATGACTTTCAGCAATTTACCAAAACATTATCTCAAAATATAATAAAAAGGGCTCAGTGGTAGTGCATTTTCATACAAGTTTCATAACATGTTTAGTGGGGCTGGGGATTTAGCTCAGCGGCATAAGCGCCTGCCTTGCAAGCAGGCAGTCACGAGTTCGATCCCCGGTACCCATAAAAAAAGAAAAAGACAAAAAATATATATATATATATCTCATAACATGTTTGGTTCCTATTACCATTAAAGGAAAAGGAAGGAAAACCTAAGTTGCTGATTGAAATTGAGCAGTTTTCTAGAAAAGGATATTCTGTATCTGAAATTTTATTCCAATTCCACTGTTCTTTTTTCTGGTCTCTTGCGTGAGGAATATCCAGTGCTACCATAAAATTCTGCAAGCTGAACATGGTGGCTCATGCCTGTAATCCTAGCACACAAGAGGCTGAGGCAGGAGGATTGTTGCGAGTTTGAGACCAGTCTGCTCACCAAAATGAGCTCAAGGTCAGCCTGAACTGCATAATGAGACCCTGCCTCAGAAAAATAAATACTAAAAAAATTTTTTTTTTTTTTTTTTTTTTTTGTCTTTTTCATTTTTATCGGTACCAGGGATTGAACTCACAACTGCCTGCTTGCAAGTCAGGCGCTTATGCCGCTGAGCTAAATCCCCAGCCCCTAAAAAAAATTTTTGAAAATGAAGTACTGCAGTTGGGAGAAATGTTAAGTGATGACTACTGAGACAAGAAGTCTTTCTAAAGCGGCCTCTTAGAATTTTTCGTATGTTCCGCTTGTCAAGTAATACACAATCTCCTGTTGGGACAGTTCGGTGTTAAAAGACTTCTGCTTGCTACTCTCTCAGCAGTTGGTGAAACAGTCCTTGTGTCTGAAGGAACACAGAACCCTTAGGAGTTCTGCAGCCACCTAGGAAATCGAATGGTTCTTTGAGCAGTTCCTTTTGTTTACTTCAGTCTCTGGTTCTAAATTCAGGAAGTGCCAAACAGCCAGGCAGGGTGGTACACACTTAACTATCCCAGAGTTCCACCACAGGTTCAAACCCACATTAGTGCACTCAGGGTCAGCCTTTACTGCATAGCAAGCCTCTGTATCCAAAAAGAAGGGCATACAGTGGTGATTTAAGGACTCAGCTAACAGGCCTTCTGTTCAAGAATATTTTAGGTAAGACCTGGGATTTAGCTCAGTGGCATAAATGCCTGCCTGGCAAGCTCAGAGTTGTGAGTTTAATCCCCAGTGCCAAAAAAAAGAACGTTTTAGGTAAATGCATTGCTAATTGGTCAGTAAGAGGTCAAAAAGAACCTAAAAGTCTTCCTTACTTTTAATCTTTTTGCTGCCACTGTCCGTGGAGTACTCTGCCAAGGTTCCTGTTTCATGGACCTTGTCTCTGGACCATATAGGCAGGGTGGGAGATCTTACTCTTTTCAAGGTGTGAGGAATAGGAAGGGTGAGAGCACATGATAAACCCAGATGTAATGGTTGTATTCATTTTTGTTCAGATTCATCAGGATACAAGACTCACCAAACATGTGCCTTTGCTTAAAAAGACACTGGAGCAGTTGGTTTGCAGAGTCAAGGCAATGCTTGTCCTCAACAATTGTAGAGAGGCTTTCTGGCTAGGCAACCTCAAAAACCGGGACTTGCAGGTAAGCATAGAGACTGTCAGTGCTAAGTCCTTCATTTTTTAAAAGTATTAAAAGAAGCTGGGCATGGTGGCGCATTCCTGTAATCCCAGCACTTGGGAGGCTGAGGTAAGAGAATTGCTTGCATGTTTGAGACCAGCCTGGGCTACAAAGTGAGCCTAAGGCCAGCCTGAACTGCATTGCAGTTTTACTTTCTCTAAAAGACCCCCAAAAAAAAGTATTAAAAGAAATTTAAGAAAGGTAACGTAAGCCCTGCTTGCTCAATAACACTTTTTAAGTCTGTGACTATTCAGTTCTTAAAGTTAGGTGATGGGGTTGTCACAGGCTACATCACTCATCCCAGCCAGAAAAGGAGCCCAAACCTGCCATTGATGTAAATGGGGCCTCAGTGGGCATGCTATGCCCTACCAGAGGGAGATCCATTTGAATATGGACAAATTTCCTTTTGGTTGGTTGGGACTTTATTCCTAAAGCAGTCTTATTTCTGAAGTCAATTGCTGGCCATTTTAACACCTGAACGTTTGTAGGGTCTTTCAGTTATCTATCTGTAAGACTGAAACCTTATGTTGCTGGCCAGCTGTGGTGGTGCTTGCCTATAATCTCAGCTATCCTCAAGGCAGAAAAATTCCTGTGAGTTTGAAACCAGCCTGAGCTACCCAGTGAGACTCTGTCTGAAAAAAATAAAAGCTGAAAGCTTGTGTTACTTTTCTACTGCTTTGGAGTTCCAGTGTTTTTCACTTGTCAATCATACTTACAGTGTCTTGAGTATTAGAATGGTTATATGTGAAAAGAACAGACCTCAGAGAAGTAGCTTCCCTTCTTCACATCATCGTTGTGAGGCAGGTTCTGTTGTTTCCTTGAGAAAACCAAAACCCAGAGGAGGAACCTCATAAGACCATTTGCAACTGTGGAAGTAGCTCCTGATTTGAGTTTGCCAGTGATCAGAGCTGGTGCTCTTAAGCCACTTGGCTACCCTGTTCTTCCTCCTCTCCCACATTTGTGACTAGTTTATAGGGCTTATGTGCCTCTGAGTGCTGGGGAAATTTTAGTTCCATATTCAGCATTGACTGACTCATCAGTATAATCTGACCTTGTAAAATCTAGTGTAGTACTAGAAAACAGAAATGTACCTTTTGTGGAACTTCTGCTGCATCAGAGGCAGGGGTGTGAGGCAGAGGGTTAAACATCCCTTCTTTGGTGCTGGGTCACAACTTGGTGTCCATGTTTCTACTGCCTGTAAACTCACTCTTTGTACGCTAAAACCCAGAGTATAACCCACCATTTTCTGGCCCATTGGCATTTAGGGTGAAGAGATTGTGTCCCAGGATTCCCAGGGGAGCACAGCAGAAGAAAGTGAGGACAGCACAACATCCCAGGTCTCCCAGAACAATGCTGCCAAGGTATCTGCAGAGAGCACCAAAGTCTGATCCCGAGGGCCGCAGTAGGGATGGTAGCCAGGGCCTTGCACAAACCAACATTCCCAGCCCTTTTTGATTCTTATTTTGATACAGAGTCTCACTAAGTCACTAAGTTGTCTGGGCTGGCCTCAAACCTGTGATCCTCCTGTCTCATTTCCCAAGTAGTTGGGATTACAGACATATGCCATCAAACCCACCTCCCTGTTTATATTTATCACCACATACTTCGGTTCTTGTCTTCATTCCCTTCAGTGACTACATTGTTTTATTCCCGCTGGTTGGTCATTTGAGACCAGTTCTTATTCTGTAGTCCAGCCCAGCCTTACACTCATTGTGCAGCTCAGAATGGTTTCAAACTCAAGATCCTGCTGCCTCAGGATCCTAAGTGCTAGGATTACTGTACTTGCTCCAACTATAGTGGAAGCCTCCCACAACTACCTTCCAGTCCCATCAGAAAAGCTTCTTAGCTTTTCTTTAATGATTAGGAGCTCTCAAAAAAAAAAAAAAAATATATATATATATATATATATATATAACCTTAAAATTGATATCTCAAGGTCAAAATTAGCCTGAACTACACAGTGAGACTTTATCTCAAAAGCCAAAACAAAAGCCCTCTGTGCTATCTCTTGCACGGTGGCTGCCCTCACACACTATAGGGTATATTTCTAATTTCCTTTTTTTTTGGAGGGGGGGGTTAACCAGGGATCAAACTCATGATCTGCTTGCCATTCACGCACTTATGCTGCTGAGCTAAACCCCTATTCCTATGGGGTATACTTCTTTTACTTGGCCCAAATTTGCTCTGTAGAACCTGTTTCTTCTCCTATCTTGAATAAAACTGCTACCATTAAAAGAAGAAAAAAAGGGGGGTCCAGGGATACAGCTTAGCAGCTTAGCACCTGTCTGGCAAGCACTTCAATCTCCAGTACCAAAAGAAAATAACAGTATCAAGTATCTGAAGCTGAGGTATATTACGCTGTTGAAAGTTCTGTTTCGAGGGGCTAGGGATATAGCTTAATGGTAGTATATATGCTTTAGCAGCCACAAGAACCTGGATTCTTGGGGGCTGGGATTAGAACTCAGTGGCACAAGTGCCTGCCTAGCAAGCACAAGGTCCTGAGTTCAATTCCCAGTTCCAAAAAGCAAAAAAGACTTGGATTCAATCCCCAGCACCAAAAACAAAAAGAAAAACTTCCCTCCTCTAGAAGGGAAATGAGGCGAGAATGTGCTGAGTGTTGAAAAAGTTAAACCATCCAAACCAAGTGGTCTTGCAGTTTTTTTTGTTTGTTTGGTTTTGGGTTTTTTTTTTTTTTTTTTTTTTTTTTTGGTCTTTTTCCTTTTTATGGGAACCAGGGATCGAACTCACGACTGCCTGCTTGCAAGGCAGGTGCTTACGCCACTGAGCTAAATCCCCAGCCCATTCTTGCAGATTTAAAAAAATAAAAACAAAATGTGTATTTCTAGCTTGCTTTTTTTTTTGACAGGGTCTCCCTATGCAGTTCAGGCTGATTTTGAACTCACTTTGTAGCCCATACTGGCCTCCAATTGGCAGCAATCCTCCTGCCTCAGCCTCCGAAGTGGTGGGACTACAAGCATGTACCACCAAGTCCAGCTTGTTGGGTTTTTTGTTTTTGTTTTGTTGTTGTTCTTTTGTTTGGGCTTGCTTATTTATTTATTTATTTATTTATTTTGAGATGAGGTCTTGCCAGGTTGCCTAGGCTCTCCTAGAACTTTTGATCTTCCTGGCTTAGCCTCCTGAGTAGCTGTGATTATAGGCATCTATCACCACTTTGATGAATAATTTGAAGCAAACCATATCCTTTTAATTTGGTTCTTTCTGTTAAGCAACCTCCCATGTTTGAGTTAAACAACAATAATTTATGATGGATTCTTTTTGAGATATACTGGTACTTTTAATAACTACTTCATTCTACACTGAATGGTATTAAGACTTTCTTCCTATGTCACATTACAGCAGAAGAGCTGGAGGTCTATAGTTTAAAGAGTAACACAAATTTGGCTCACTTACAGTACGGTAGAGGCAGTAACCAGGTGACCTCTGTTCATGGTCTTGGCTTAGAATTAACAATATCAAGAAGAATTGGAAGTCCATCATAGGCCCATTAACCTCCTGTTACAGACTCACACAGGACACTGCAGTGAGCACCAGAATTCAACTCCCATGTGCAGACAACCTCTGCCTTCTTCCACATCCCACTCTGCAGATAGCTGTTCTGCCCTTCTAATACCCCGGAAAGTTCACTGCACTCTCCAAATCCTCAACACCAAGATGGAGTGGTGATTTGGTGTTCAGATATAGCATTGTGAGGAAGAAAAGGAGGAGGGAAGCAGGTCCCTGGGACTCAGTAAGAATCTCTTCTCTGCTGTCTTCTCTTTTTGTTTATTCTTGTTTTTATGTGAGTGTTAACATTGTTGCTAGTTTTTTATTGTTGTTCTGTGCCTCGGTTTGTTGTCCTGTCCTATCCTGTCCTGTCCTGTCCTGTCCTGTCCTTTTCTGTTCCTGGAATCAAACTCAGGACCTGGGCTTACCAGGGAGGTAGTGCCCTGTTGAGCCATACCCCGGCCTCTGTTCTTTTTTATTTTTTCCTTCTCTCGTTCTCTCATGTCTTCTTTTCCAGTTTCCCAAAGTTTGCATAATCTTTCTTTAGCATTTAGCCTTGCTTCTAAGCTCTTCCTCTTGTTCAATTTCCCTGTTTTTTCCCCTGAAGCCCCTAAAAGTAAAATTTCCATATTGTGAGGAGATATTTATTATATACAAATTTCTGGTTTGTTTTAGATTTTATTATATAATCACAAATCTAGTTCATATGATTAAAGGTGGCAAATTAATAGTTACCACAGTTTCTCATTCTCTAGGCTGTGTTTGATGCTGTTGCTCTTGCTGATTATACTACTTTACCCAAATTGACATAACTGTTTTAATCATTTGTTTTTCCCAGTATGCCAAAACTGAGATTGCCTAAGGGTCATAAACAATACTGTACGCCAGTGCCAGAGAACAAGGTACTGAGCCAAGTAGGCAGCAACTTCTCATCCCCAATAAATTGAAGAGGCAGGATCTTGCAACAGAATACAAAACCAAAAAGTAGGTATATTTGGAAGACCTCTCTAAGAATCATTTCCTAAAGGTTCTCAATACTAGCAATAAAGCTGTGCACCATAAGCAATTTAAAAGCATCAACCTAGAAATTTTAAAAACTGAAAGAAAAAGAAAATGACAAGACACCTCATGAATTTGCAGCCTCACTTTCCCAGGCACAATGAGGTAGAACAATCCAAAAGATACCCAGCTGGACTCTCTCAAGTGGTGATAGCAAACTGTATCAAAGCAGGTAAATGAGGCTGTACAAAATTAAACCAGAAATAATCTCTAAGAGCAACCCATAGATAAGAAGGTTCCCCTCTTATCTCTCAAGAGCTATGTTTCTCAATAAATTTTCCTACTCTTAACTTCCATTATTCCTTAGAATTCATTCTTCAGTTTTGAGGAATACCAGTTTGGCATATCTGACATCTATGATGTTGGGAGTTATGTTTCTCCTGTATCATACTGCCTCCCACAAAAAAAAGAAATATTGTCTCAGACAACTACAGAAGTGGTCACCCTAATGAAAGACACGGTTAGACATAGATTTTTAAAAATAGCTGAGTTCAAAGTGAGCCCAAGGCCAGCCTGAACTGCATAGTGAAATCCTGTCTCACAAAGACAAAAATAAAGTAAAATAAGTAGCAGAGTTTAGGAAAATGGTGAAATCCATGAATACTCAACATGGGAAAGAAATAGAATCCATGAAACAGATTCAGAGAGATATCCAGGAAATTAAAAAATTCCATTGAAAGTATATGCAGCATAGTGCCTGTGTGGCAAGTGCAAGTTTGTGAGTTTGATTCTTGTTGGTACAGAAAGTTAAAAAATAAACTAATATATAGTAGACAGAATTGTAGTTATCAATTATGAAAAGAAAGATTTCCGGTACGAAGAAAAAGAGATTTCTTAGAAATAGCAATAGACTCATGAAAAATGAGTCTAATGGCTGTTAAATGATACAAGGCAGAATAACATCAGTTTGATCAGAATCAGTGAAAAAACAGGAGATAGTGCAAACAACATAAAAATATCTGCTCACAAGCTAGGCATGATTGCATACACCTGTAATCCCAGCATTTGGGAGGCTGAGGCAGAAGAATCTCTTGAGTTCAAGACCAGGCTAGACTACATAGTGAATTCAAGGCCAGCCTAAACTACGCAATGAAACCTGTTCACAGAAGTAAGTGGTAACAGAAAACTTCCTAGGCATGCAAAAAGAATTTTAGCATACAGATTTGTGAGATATATGGACCTCCAGTTAGCCATGATCAAAAATGATCTACACCAAAGCATGTAACAGTCAAATTCCAGAAATTCAACACAAAGACAGATGTTTTAAAAGCCATTAGAGTGAAGAAACAAATCACCTAGAAAGTCCATCAGAATCAGAGCAGATTTTTCAACACAAACTTTCAAGTCAAGGAGACCTTGGAATGAAGTTTTTCAAGCCCTAAAGAAAACAGTCTCTAGTGCAGAGTGATGTGCCCTGCAAAATTATCTTTCATTATTGATGAAGAAATCGGCTACTTCCATGACAACCTGAAGAAATTTATGAACACCAAAGTAGCACTCCAAAATGTTCTGAAGAGGGGGTTGGGGATTTAGCTCAGGGGCATAAGTGCCTGCCTTGCAAACAGGCAGTCGTGAGTCTTTGAGACAGGGTCTGTATGCAGTTCAGACTGGTCTTAAACTTTCAACAGTCCTCTTGCCTCAGCCTCGCAGGAGTACTGAGATTACAGGCGTGAGCCACCATGCCCAGCTTTTAGATTTTGTTTATATTCTTCACCAAAGGTTTCTCTTCTTTTTCTGGATTCCTCCATTCTTCTATCTGTGTCTTCTTGAGAGGGGCTTAGCATTTCTTTTATTAATC